CCCCCCCCCCCCCCCGCCCCCCCATCTAGATACTTTGTGGTTGGTTTCCCATTAGAGTTTCAAAGTGAAATAACCATGTAGCATAGACTGTGTACTGTCTGGTTTCCTCAGGAAAACATAGTTAGGTGCAGACATTTCTCTGGCTTTAGACAGTGGCTCCTTCTCCTTTGCATATACTGTCTGGAATTTCCAAATGCTTTCATGACATTAGCTGCTGCTTCTGTTTTTAATAAAGCCCCTGTTCCTAAGCTTGGCTTTCTAACATCTGATCCACATGTTTGACCATGATTAAACAGCTTCACGCCAGTGTTCCACAGTCCATTCAGATTCCTTTGGCTTTCCCGTGGCTTTATGTAAAAAACCAAAGTGTACTTAAGCATAGACATCTGTAGGGAAGACAGTGGAAAAGCCAGCCCCTCCTTGAAGGTTGCCTTTTCAAATTGCTGAAAATTGTTAGCAAAAGTCTGAAGCCAGTTACTAGGGATTAAGCAGGAGGGCTAGGAAGAAATGGTGCTGGGTCTCGTCTGGAGAACTTGTAGCAGGAGCGCTGTCTTGTTTGATTAGATTCTGTGGGCTCTTCTGCTTGCATTTTTTGTTTTTATTTGTTGTTTATAATTGAAACTGCAAGCATCAGGAAATTTCAGAATTCTTTAGTAATTTGTATTTTGTGGAAGGAACTGGATATTTTAGTTTAGTGACAGTAAGCAGTGCTCAACACTTTGAATAGCATGAAGGCATTGTTAAACTTTTTTAATGCTTGTTCTTTTGAAAGGATACTGGTTAGCTTTCTCTCAAAACTAGCATAACCATCCTTTGGATATTTAGTGACGTGATTGTGTTTGATTCTAATAATAATAGCAATGTGGTTAAGGAAATGATTCATGTGCAGTCTATTAAATTTTGCAGATGTGGGAAGAATATCCTGATGTTTATGGGGTTAGGAGATCAAACCGAAGCAGACAAGAACCATCACGATTTAATATTAAGGAAGAGGTAAGAAAAAAATGATTGGAGGGGATGTGTTTTGGTTCCCTATCTTACCTCATCATCCTTGACTGGTGTGCGTTAATTACTATTGAGAAGACTCAGGTGAGGCAGCTAAAAGAGAATCTGTTGGCCATTGTATGAACAGAGAGTGGGGCAAGAAGTTAACACTTAGCAAACACATAATAGTTAGTGCTTCGTTCCTCTATTGTATGGTGTGACCTAATTTAAAGTTGATTTAAAGTTAAATTTCTCAGAGTATAACCGATTGTGGCCAGTTAACTTTAGATACCAAATGTTTTGTTTAATTGCTGAACGACTGGAACATTGAAATGATTTTGGATTTACTCCAGAGAAAGGAAAGAGGAGTGTTTAATGTCTTTTGTTTTTCTTTACTTATTTTCTGGTCTAATTATGAGAGATGGAGTACTTTATTTTCTATTTTTTAATGATGGGGCAGAGTCTTGGTACTTGAGTATTCTTAGTAAGCCCCCATCATGTAACTACATCCATCTAAGGTGCCTACACTGGTGATTTTTAAAGCCAGTAATATTTGGGTTCGCACATCCTTAGAATCGGACTTGTTTCATGTTTCTCAGATTGTGTCATTGTTTTGTGAAACCTCTGTGTATTAGGTTTGTAGGTAGATCCTGAAGGGATACTCTTGCCTCAGTGAAATGTCCCCTTTCTGCCATAGGAGGATTGTTCTACTTTTTTTTTTTTTTTTTTTAAAGCTATGTAACATTCTTCCAGTGGAAGTTATGTGATTGATAGCCAAATGTTGGGAAGTTAGGTATGGGTTTTCAGCAAATGTCCTCTGAAAATCAGATTCATGCCAACACCTGCATGTATATGCGGTTTGAGTTCTGAGTGACTTCTGAGCTGATGTATCTGTGCTTCCCTTTCCCATAGTGTCTTGGGCCACTGAGCCTTAGTCCTTGTGTCCAGTCACATCTGTCTGCCCTTCCTGGTTCATACATCAGTATATACTCAGTAGGACCCCAGACTATCAGTCTTAGAGGGAGTGCCATTTTGCTTCATTTGAGGGAAGAAACTGTCTCAAGTGTCTTTAGCCTAGTGCTGTTAGCGCTTCATCATGATTCAGATGCTCTCTCATCAAGTACAAAGTGGATACATCAGTGGCAGTGCCGTTAAGGTGTACTCACTAAATTTGGTATTTTATACGTTGTTTTAGATCTGCAGCATCCTGTACAGTTATTGCTAACACATGTGGCTTTTAAAATTTATATTTAGAATTTATTCCTCAGCCCTAGTAGGCACATTTTAAGTGCTGAGTTCACACGTGGCTGATGGCTCACTGTGTTGGACATTATAGTTATAGAACATTTATGTGTAGGAAGTTGTATTTGATGTTACTGCTCTGGGTGTCTGAGCTAAGTATAGACTTGAGAAAGAAAGTGACATTGATTTCTTTTCAAAGCGAAAGAGTGGGCTCCACCTAGCAAGTGCTTAGGTTTCATTCTGTCTAAAGTCTCACTGTGAACTAAAGTCTGTAATCATTTCCCCCCTCACACATTGAAGGCAAGTAGCGGGTCTGAGAGCGGGAGTCCAAAAAGAAGAGGCCAGAGGCAGCTGAAAAAACAGTAAGTCTTTCATGGGGGAGATGACGGCATCTGATAGTTGTGAGCATGTCTACATTTCTAGGACAATCTTTCTCTTCTGTCTATCCCAGATCTCTTGGTTTGGGTTACTGCCCTCCAGGAGTCTCAGTTTAGCATAGAAGCATTCCATATAGCTTCAGCTTAAGTTAACTCAGTTAATTTTTTCTTGAAAGTAAACATAAATAGCAAAGTAGATGTTGGCATATTTAGTAAGTGAGGACCAGATTTAAACTGGCCACTTCTCATGTTGACGTGATAAGGTTTATATTGCTTGAACACGTGTTTGTTATGAAATGTGTACTGTTTCAGTATAATTCTAAGATTATAGTTTATAGACTAGAAGATTTTAATTCTTGAGCTTAGAGTTAAAATATTTTATAACAGATTATACTTTGTTCTTTATTGTTATTTATTATTGTTTTTTTTTTTTCGGTTAGCACTAGAGATTGAATTTAGGGCATCACACATGCTATAGGCAAGCACTCTACCACTGAATTAAACCCTTAGTTATATACTCATTCATTTTGGAAATTAAGTTATTTCTTACAATTATATTAAAATAATTTTTTTGTATGTATATGTATGTGAGTGTACTTATGGAGGTCAGAGAACAGCTTGTGGGAGTCTGATGTGTGCTTGGGAGATGGAAGACCCATTATCATGCCTGGGGTTGAGAAACTATCTGCTGAACCATCTCACTGGCCTTGTGTGTTTTCACACAGGGTCTCATTATGTAGCTGAGGATGACTTTGAGCTCTTTATTTTTATGCCTTTCTTTTCCAAATCCTGGAATTACAGGTGCATATCACCATATATAACCCTTTGATTTATATGTAATAGTTCATATTTTTTTCTTTAAAAATTTTTTTAAGATTTTAAGAATGTCATTTTTGCCTGAATCATATGCCTTGCCTAGAATTCACTTTGTAGACCAGGCTGGCCTTGGACTGTGACAGATTTTCCTGACTCTGCTTCCCCGTTGAGATTACAGGTGTGTGCCACAAACCCCAACTTCAGGATAGGTATTTTTATTTTTAATTTTTATTATTTTTGAGGCAAATCTTGTTTTATTGCCCAGGCTAACCTCAAATTTACAGTGATCCACTCGCTTCAGTCTGATGGTGAGATTACAGGAAGGTGGCACCTCCTGCTGCTCATTGTTATCTTTATTTACTCACTATGTAGTCTAGGCCTTCACTCTCCAAGTTCCAGGATTACAAGCGAGTCCCTCTTTACCTAGCTGTTCATTATTTCTAGTTAAAAAAATTCTGTGTAGTGAAAACATGGTAAGATTTTTAAATAACAGCCTTTTCCATTTCCATGGTGTACTGTCCCTTTAACTGTATGAATTCTGTAGATCCTTTTTGAAAAATGTAGATGTCCAAAACTTAGTATACCAATTCAGGAATATTTTCCACTAAGGTCTGCAGTTACGTGTTGTCTAATTATTGGGCAAATTTGAATTTCTTAAACCAATTTCTAGAATACTAATACAAATTCTGCCTGCTCAGCAATGAATAGAAGTGGTTACATTATATGTATATTTTAAAGAACTTTGTAGAGCAGTATTTAATATTGTCTTGCCTGAATACACCCAATTTCTATTGTGTTTTACATCCTGACTTGGAGTTGGAGACTGCAAGCTCCAAGCAGGGATGGCTTAGGTTTCCCTTGTGCTTCAGTCTCATGAGCTGTGTGGGGGACTCTTCTGCTTTCATTTGGTTGTTGTTTTATTCCTGTCTAATGGCTTTGTGGGATGTTTTCTGAAATGTCCTTGATCACATTACGGGAAGGCATCACATATGCATATGACTGGCACTCTGAGCTGATAACAAGTGTAATGGAATCTACTGTGTGGGGGTGTGAATTTGAGAGAGAGAATAATTTATTCATTTTCAATGTTTTGAATTGGGAATCTGTCACGGACTTAACGTCAAAATGAAACTGAGTCATTATTAGTCTGAGATTGGAATTGTTGGTGAAAGTATTCTGGCTTGGGGATATATGCTATCTAGAAGCCAGTTTCTTCTTTTCCTGCTGTGTCTTTTAAGAAGAGAAAGGAATTCTCTTTGGCACTTAGCGTGTTCAGTAGAGCCCTTGCACCAATATCCAGGCCCATTATATTTAAAAGTGGCTTTTGCTCACTGCCTGCTTAGATAGGAGTCAGTTGTCCATGTTCCACAGCCCCCCTTTTGTGATAATGAAAGTCGATGTTCCCAGCTGATTAGTATTTGAACTGCTTGTTTGTTTACATTTCTTTGGAGTCTCATTAGCTATATTTTGGTAGTTTTTTTCCACAGTCCTTCAAATTTGGGAAATTTTTTGTTGGTGTTTCTTTTGTTAAGTGAAAATAGTTTTTAATCAAATTCTTGGCTCTCTTTTTCTCTTAAATGTATTTATTTTATGTGTACTGGTGTTTTGTCTGCAAGTAAATATACTCACCTGTGTATACCTACTGTGCTTAGCGTTCAGAGAAGAGTGTGTGCCTCCCCTGGAACTGGAATTATGGATGGTTGTGAGCCTCCATGTGGTGATAGGAACCAAACTCGGGTCCTCTGGAGGAGCAGCCAGTGCTCTTAACTGCTGAGTCAGGTCCAAGTTCTTGCCTCTTTACTGCAGTGGGACCTACAGAGTATGGGTGACTGGGGAGTCTCCTTTGAAAAGGCACTTTTAGTTGGCTTTCCATAAGAAATGAGCAATTTTACTTGTCTAAGAGCTGTATGTGTGTGAGGGCAGGAAGTTGATGTTCATTTTCTCTTAATCTCCACTGCTTCTTTCTCCTTGTGGGGCATGCTGGCAAACACCTGTAATCCCAGTTCTTGGGAGGCAGAGGCTGAAAGTAGTGTCTCGGTGAGCTCAAGGCCAGCCTTGTCTACTTAGTAAGATCCAGGGCAGGCAGAGGTGTATAGTGAGTTCCTGTTTCAGAAAACCAAACCAAATAAATACTTTTCTTTTTTCTTGTTCTTGAAAATTAAAACATAATGTGCCCAATTTCAAACACCTGCCCCATTTTTGTCTCTATATTCTGGAATGTATGAGCTTGACTGTAATTTTTCCTGGGTCCTTTGTAAAACCCCCAAACGGTCCTGTACTATACGGTGTTACTTCTATAACTCCCATGCTGCTACAGGTCTGTACGCGAGCCGGGAACTGGGCTGAGAGACTTAAAAAACATACAAAGACATATAAACAGAGAGACACAGACATTGGTCACTCTTAATACCAGAATGCCAAGTCTTTTGTGCTCAGGGGTAGCTTATCTAGGGCTCTGGCCACACCCCAGCTCTCCGATCTTTCAGCTGCAGACTGCCATCAGGGTCTTGTGCTCAGAGCAGCTGGAGTCTGCTCAGAGCAGAGGAAAACAAGTTGTTTTGCTCAGTTCACTCCAGCAGGCAAAGGGTCTGAGGCAGGCAAAGAAAATCAAGGGAGCAAGGGATCTATAGCTCCCAACAGTCTTTAAGGGTCTTGTATGGATTATGATTGAGAATAATAGGTGTGAGGTTTGCTGTGCATGCAAGCAACTTTCTTAGTGGACTTAGTCTTCTTCAAGGAAGAACATCTCCCTGGGCTTTAGGCCAGTTGATTTGACCAGTTTTTTTTTTTTTTTTTTACATTCCTATGCTGGAAGAGCCCAAGCTCTCCTGGTTGTATATAACTTTTTAATTTGACTGGGATACTCCGGCCTCAACATACACTTTCTCTTTTTAATTTTGCTGTATCCTTTGTCAGGTGCCTCATTGATAGTCCTCGCTCTAGTGAGCCTTGGTGATAACCTTAGTGATGCCCTAGCTGTAGTGGGCCTTGTTGATAACCCTAGTGATTCCCTAGCTCTGGTGGCCTCACTCTTAGCTCTAGGTCTAGTGGCCCTCATTGATAGCCCTGGCTCTAGTGGCCCTCACTGTTAGCCCTAGTGATGCTCTAGGTCTAGTGGGCTTCATTGATAGCCTTCGGTCAGATTATTTGACTCTGGATTTTCCTCATTGATAATACTTTCCCCTGGTCCTTAAATGTCCATGTTTTTGAGACTTGTTTCTGGGAGTCCAGGTTTTGCAGCATGACTTTGGACGGCAGATGACCTTTTCAGAGCCCTAGGTCGACTGCTGACTCACATCCCAGTTTTCCGAGTGTAGGAGTCACTTTTTCTTCCATCTTCTTGGCAATCAACTTCTATAACTTAGATTCCTTTTGTGGTTGTTTCTTGAGACAGGGTTTCTCTTGTAGCCAAGATTGATTTTGAACTCGTCGTTGCTCTGTCTTGAGTAACTGTTGTGTCTGGCTTCTTTTTATTCTTTAGCGAAATTTTATTATTCTAGATCTTGAGTAAGCAGAACAAGCTAGATACCAGAGTACAGGTAGAGACAAGAAAGTCTTTTTTTTTTTGGTCAGGGGAGGTTTGGAGATCGGGTTTTTCTGTGTAACAGCCCTAGCTGTCTTGTAATTGGTTCTGTAGACCAGACTGTCCTCAAACTTGCAGAGATCCACCTGTCTCTGCCTCCCAAGTGCTGGGATTAAAGGTTTGCATCACCACCACTTGGGGGAAGTTTTGCTTTAAATATAGACTGATAGATAGAAACCAGTAACAGGGCTTACTATCTAGTCTCTCTCCAAAAGTACTCAATATGGTGACTCAAAAACTGATAGGGCTCTTTCATTAGTTAATTTCATTATTTAACCAAGGCCATTTCTGCCTTTAATCCCAGCACCTGGGAGGCAGAGGCAGTCAGATCTCTGTGAGTTCGAGGCCAGCCTGGTCTACAAGAGCTAGTTCCAGGACAGGCACCAAAAAGTACAGAGAAACCCTGTCTTGAAAATCCAAAAATAAAATAAAAACCAAGGCCATTTCTATTTATCAGCTTTTGTATCCATCTCTGTGCAAGGAGTCAACGATTAAATCTGACTAATGTACATGAAAGTGTTAGATTGCCATTTCCTGAAAGGGTTGATTCTCCTCCCTAAGCTTCAACTAGTTCAGGGGGAGCTGATGTTGTTGAATTAACTAATTAGTAACTGTTGCAGCTATTAGGAAGGGCCTCAGGAATCTGCAGAGCAACCCCTTTTTGGAGCAATCCAGCACTGTTTTTCTTAACTTGTCCTATGATGAATATTAATTTGACTTGGCAGTTCTGTATCAAGCATCTTTGTTATGACCTCTGTTAAGGGAACCCATGGGTACAGTGGTAATTGTTTTGTTTACAGAGGAACTTCAAGCTTGTGCCTGTCGGGTTTTTTCCTAGGTCTTTCATGCCTAGTAGCTATTACATACTTTGTTCACTACAGGTGAGAAATGAGTTAGGTCCCTGTGGTGTCGTGGTTAGCCTTTAAGAGATTAAAGCTCTTAGAAGTAGAAGGACACCTGTAGGTTATGACTCTTTCAAACCTTGTAAGATCTCGAGAAACAAAAGAACACTTCCCTTCTCTAATAATTCAAAACTAGGTCTTAGAAACAGAACAGATTTAAATTGTTTAGTTGGGTGGCAGGTTCAGCACTGAAAATTTATCTAGGGACTGTTTCCTTAATTAAGTTCTAAAAACTAAAACATTTCATATAGTCTGCAGGTGGACCTTAGTGGGAGAGTACTTGCCTAGTCCAGCAAAATTCGTTCTTGTAATGTTTTCAAATACATTTCTATCCAGAAAAATTCGTTCTTGTAATATTTTCAAATACATTTCTACCCAATATCAGCATCATGTGTGACTCTTAGAATTCCGAGCTGTCTTGATGGACAGGTTTTGAGTAAGAAGCAAGCTCTTTTGCTAGTTCTGATGTATGTTAAAGCTTGGGAATCTTTGGGATTCAGACAGTGGTGAACAAAATAGAATAGGTAGGGGGCTGGAGAGATGGCTCAGTGGTTAAGAGCATTGCCTGCTCTTCCAAAGGTCCTGAGTTCAATTCCCGGCAACCACATGGTGGCTCACAACCATCTGTAATGAGGTCTGATACCTTCTTCTGGGCTGCAGACATACAAACAGACAGACTATTGTATACATAATAAATAAATAAATTTAAAAAAAAATAGAATAGGTATCAGAATTTCTCTACCCCAGAAAAGGTGGTTTGAAAATTGTACCCATATTCGCCATTCATGTTACCAGAGTTAAACTAGGAATAGATGGTATATAACTCAGGAAGAGTAACAAAACCCAAAAATATAAAATATAATATCTAAAATACATATGTTCTGTGTTTCAGATAATACATTTGGAATTTATTTTTTGAGATCATTTAGCTTATGAATTCTTAAAGGAAAAATTTGTTTTGCTTTTTTGATCACAGAGAAAAATGGAAGCAGGACCCCTCAGAAGATGAACATGAACAAGGCACCAGTGCAGAGAGTGAACAGGAACAAAAGAAAGGAAAAGCTAGGAGGCCTGTGCCCAGAAGGTGTGCTACCAGCCTGCCCAGTCTGCTTCTAGCTCAGCTCCTTGGGTTACACTGGAAGCCAGAGCCCTAATCAACACAGATTGTCCTGTTGTAGAATTTGGATATCTGGTTTTCTTTGTATTAGCCTGTATTTTTACCAAGTAACTGAGCTACTGAGATCACTTTTGAGTATTTGCATGGATGCGGTTCTAACTGGAGATACTTTTTCCCTCTTCATATACCATGGGGTTTAAACTAAATTATTTTAGTGTTAGTATGTATTAATTGTAAATAGTAATGGATTTGCTTATTGCATTTTCATATATGTGTATCATGGACTCTGATCATATTCTCTGACAGTGGATCTTTGTTTCTTTCGTGGCAATGTATTTAGGGCATGGTATATGCAACCCTATCTTGTGCTTTAATCCTCACATTAACAACAAAAAACGTCCCCTTTTTGTATGGTCAGATTATAAATTCTTTTTGGAAGAATTGATTCTTTGCTTGTTGTCTTTATTTTTTGGCTTTTTGAGACAGGGTTTCTTCATTTAGTTTTGATTGTCTTGGTACTCACTATGTAGATCTTGGTGCCATCAAACTCATAGAGATCCTCCTGCCTCTGCCTCCTGAGTGTGGGATTCAAGGCATGTGCCACCATGCTTGGTGAGAACTAATTCTTTTTTTTTTTAATATTTATTTATTTATTATGTATACAATATTCTGTCTGTGTGTATGTCTGCACGCCAGAAGAGGGCACCAGACCTCATTACAGATGGTTGTGAGCCACCATGTGGTTGCTGGGAATTGAACTCAGGACCTTTGGAAGAGCAGGCAATGCTCTTAACCACTGAGCCATCTCTCCAGCCCGAGAACTAATTCTTAAGATGAAAATACTCTTTTGGCTGGTCCAAAGCATATTTATGATTATTGCTCTTTTACTATAATGTCCATAGCATTAAGCAGTGTGCCTGGTTGTATAGAGATGGGCAGAGGTGGAGAAGGCAGTAAGTTTTAGTGATTCCTGGTGAAACATGGCAACTGAGGACAGATATAAGAAGGCAGAAGAAATTCACTGTGAGGCTCGAAGTGATTCAGGAGTGGAAGCACCGTCCACCCATTGTTCTGATAGCCACCGGGACAGGTTGTGACCTCAGTTAAGGCAATGTCAAACGGGCTGCTGTTACTCTCCTCCTGGCTTAACACTAGTTTTTCTCAAGGATGACTGGACTCTGAAAGCAGCTTTAGTACACAGGCTTGTATTCTTTTTTGGTTTTTGAGAAAAGGTCTTACTGTGTAGTTCTGGCCTTTCAGACTGGCCTTAAATTTAACTTTATTGATTGATTGATTGATTGATTGTGTTGGTAGGCCAGAGGTCACCTTTGGGTGTTGTCACTTAGCTGTCCACCTTGATTTTTAAGAGGATCTCTCACTGGGACCTGGGCTTAGTGATGAGTTTAGCCTGGCTGACCAGCCTAGCCCCAAGGGTCCTACTGTCACTCCCTCCCAGATGCTGGGATTACAAATGCATGCCACCATGCGTGTGAAGATTGTGAGGATTGAACAGGTCATCATGCTTGTGTGACAAACAGTTTACAGACTGAGCCGCCTCCACAGTTACAGAATATACCTTCTTTCAGTATTGAGTAGGATGGGGTCAAATCACAACCAACACTTCCTTTTTTAATGGCTTGAAGGCTCATAATAGTTTTTGCTGATAAACATTTATCACTTATAGTATGGTAATAGTACTAAATTTGGATCCTAGCTAGTTAAGGGAAGCATTCTCTCTAGAATGATTCTATTCTTATTAATCATATCACCGGAACATCCTATATCTCTGTTTTGAATTTTGTCAGTAAAAATGACAAAATTCATTTGCATAAGTACTTAAACACTGTCCCAGTTTTATGCCTAAGCCAAGAAAGTCTAAAAATATTTTCTCCCTCGCCATTTGCAGAAAAAATTGTCAACTCCTCCTGGTCTAGTGCCTGTCCTTATCTCATCATGGAAAGCTTGAGTTTTGTCTCCCTGAGTTTAAGCTCTCAAGATTGAAATGCCACGCTCGATTTTTGTGCATTATGTACTGATCCTTGTTTAGGGTTCATTAGGTAGGCAGGAGAAACACATCTATGTGATTGTACGTTATCCTGTCCCCCTTGGTTTTCCGAGAGTATCCTGTATGGAGGTTTACTTTGAACTCCCGATTCCAGTCTGATACCATGCCTGGCCCCCTTTAGTGAATTCTTTGTGTGTGCCACTGCTCTGGGAAATGCCAGTATGTAGGTTTGAAATAGCCACCAAGTGACAGAGTAAAAGCTTTGCCATTTCTTTCTCTGTTCATTTTAGAACAGTGCCTAAACCTCAGGTTAAAAAGCAGCCTAAGACTCAGCGTGGAAAGCGGAAAAAGCAAGAGTCTTCTGATGACGATGACGACGATGATGAAGCTCCCAAAAGGCAGACTCGACGACGAGCTGCTAAAAATGTGAGGTCAGTTGTGGCCTGGAAGGTCTTTGTTGATGTGATGGGAATGACATTGCTGTTTAGACCTTGACTTCAAGTTTTAGATAATGTGATTGACAGGTAATAAAATCAGCCTGAACAGGACACAGTGGCACAAGCCTTTCATCCCAGCACTCGGGAGACAGAGGCAGGTGGATCTCTGTGAGTTTGAGGCCAGCCTGGTCTACATAACTTGTTTCAGAAAGGCCAGAGATACACAGTGAGGCCTTGTCTCAAAAAGCAAAAAAGGATGTAAGCCTCTGTGATAAAGTAGATTTCAGAGTCTAGCCATGTCTGAGAAAACTGGTGTTGAGCCCAGTGGAGAAGGAGAGTAACAGCAGCCCATTAGGCAGTGCCCCAACCGAGGTCACGTCCTGTCCAGGTGGCTATCTTTGTGATGTTTCAGAACAATGATGGACGGTGCTTTCACTCCTGAATCACTCCTGAGTCTTACTGTTTCTAGTGACATTTGGGTATAATAATAATAATTATTATTATTATTACAGGATATAAGGCATTAATTGATGACCAATTAAAGATATAATATATTCAGATATGTTCTTTGTTTAATCTGGAGAATATGAAGTACGTTTACTTTGAGAACAAATGCATCTTTCTTTTGGTCTATTAGCAATGTGAAGCAGAGCACTAGAGATAATAAATTCCTTGTTGGATGTTTCCAATTGATAGTTAAATGTAGGGCTAGACTTAATGTGCTGGTGTCTAGCTTAGCTCATTTTCTTATTGTGTTATATTGTGTCTTTGTTTTTCTATTATCATTTTGTTGTGTTGGAGATTAAACCCAGCACTTTGCTTATACAAGGCCAATACTACTGTACTGTGCCCCCTTGTATTTACTGTTTAGGTGTGTTTTACTTGTAAAGGCTTTATTTTGTTTTTCTTTTCTTTTTATGTTTTTGATGTAACTTAGGCTAACCTGGAACTTACTATGTAGTCAAGGCTCTCTTGAATTTATTGTGTAGCTCAGACCAGCCTCAGATCACCTCTCTGTGCTCAGTCTCCCCAGTTCTGGGATTATCATGGCCAAATACATTTTAGATTTTACAATTCAGAAGTATGAGTTTGAACATTCTCAACTGTTTGGGTCAAATTAAATTTCATTTTTTTGTTATTGGGAGATAAAATTGCATGATTGGAACATTTAATCTTAAAAATTTTTTTCTTTTGTCTGAAATGATAGCAATTTTTCGTTCCTTATGAACTTTCTTCATCATAATTTAGATATTTCCTGGCATTAAATAAAGGGTATCCTTGTAGATTCCTTTATTTTGCTCATATGTGTAGTGTGAGCTACTCTTTAGTTTGTGGACTTGTGTCAGTGATTGAAATAAGACGAGGGAGGTTTTGAGCCGTCGACTGGAAAACCTGTGAGTAATTTGTTGGCGTCAGAGAGTGTGGCTCTTATGTACTCCAGTGCTATCTGTAGAGATGTTTAATTCTGAAGGTATGGTTTCCTGCTCATTCAGCATTATTTCTCACACAGTTACAAAGAAGATGATGACTTTGAAACTGATTCAGATGATCTCATTGAAATGACTGGAGAAGGAATTGATGAACAGCAAGATAATAGTGAAACTATTGAAAAGGTCTTAGATTCAAGACTGGGAAAGAAAGGAGGTTTGTGTCTTTGGGGAGCAAATTATTCTCTGGATTTTTGACACAGGGTCTCTGGTAGCCTTGACTGGCCTCCAGTTTTCCATATATTCAACAATGACACCCTGCCTCTACCTCCCAAGTTCTGGGATTACAGACATGCACTACCATTGCCACTGTACGCAGTGCTGGCAGCTGAATCAGGCCTTGGTGCTGCTAACCTAACCACACCCTACCACGCTCCCAGTCTGGTTTATTTGAGGGTAAGGCAGTTAACTTAGCTTTGGGGAGGTGAGTAAGGAGAGGCGAGGAGGTTTTGATTTCTTACTCTGTTCTCAGAGGAAGAGGTCTGCCTTCTGAAGTGTACTGAAAAGGAAAGGATGCTGCTCTTTGATTTTTAAGGTGTCTGCACAGATTTCCCTGCTTTCACTTGCAAGTTTGCGCATGCTTTAAGGCAAACAGTAGCATTTTCAGGATGTTGAAAATTACCGGACCCATCCTGTGTTGCAAGTTGACTTACTTATTGTAATAATTGTAATTGAACAGTAAGTTGACCACTTATTGTAAGTCAGAGGCATTCGGTTTATTCAAGGAGAGATTCTTATTGGCAGTTGTTTAAGTGGGGATCTTTTTTCGCCTGGTTTCTTACATTTCCTTTAAAGTTGAACTAAAACTGCAAATCCTTTTGCAGCTACGGGGGCATCTACCACTGTGTATGCTGTTGAAGCTAACGGAGATCCTAGTGAGGCCTTTGAGCCCGAGAGGGAGGAAGGTGAGATCCAGTACCTGATCAAGTGGAAGGGCTGGTCTTACATCCACAGCACGTGGGAGAGCGAAGAGTCCTTACAGCAGCAGAAGGTGAAGGGCCTGAAAAAACTGGAGAACTTTAAGAAGAAAGAGGACGAAATCAAACAATGGTATGCTTCCTGCTGCCAATTCAAGTGGTGTTTTCAGTCTGTATGGGAAGGGAGGTTTTTAATTGTGTGGAGAATAGCACTCTCTAGGATTTCAGATTTTGCCTTGATCATCTGATCAAGGAATGCTGAACATTCTACAGTTCTGTTTCTGAAATTGTGATGTGGTGACAGTGGATGCTTTCCTGTGTGCCTACTAAATTCTCAGATTTAACAAGAACAGCTGGCTCATGGAGCACTTGCTGCATTTCCTTTCTTAAGTGTGTTGTTGATCTTGACAATAAAATTGTGAGATTTTTATTTGTTTTGTTAACTGTTTTGTAGATGAGAGAAGTTGCAAGTGAATCAGTGACTTGAATTTAGACAGCTGTATGTAGAGCCAATCTCAAAACATGTTGTTACTTTGGTTTGATTAGGCTGGGGTGGCTTATATGTGAAAGTTAATAGTCTAGAGCCTTCTGGGTTTTGATACACTTGTAATTATTCTTGGTTGTAATACAGTTTGTAGAAATGTTTTTGTTTTTAATTTTTCCCCTTTTTTGGTCTCATTTAAACATCTCAGACTTGTTACTATTGAAGATTACTAAAGGGACACCTGGAAGCAATTAAGTTTACATTTGTACTTAGAAGGTTTGCTCTGATACATATATATCGATCTCCAAGCTCTAACTGGTATATGCTTGTTTTTTTGGTCTTTTGTCTAGGTTAGGGAAAGTTTCTCCAGAAGATGTTGAATATTTCAATTGCCAACAGGAGCTGGCCTCAGAGTTGAATAAACAGTATCAAATAGTAGAAAGAGTAATAGGTAAGTTCTTAGAAACTTATTTTAGGCATGGATAAACTTGGAGAAAATGACCTAGGCTTAGGATTATATAAATTTATAAGATGCATTTTATAGGTTTACGTTTTGAGACTAAACAAAGGCCTATATTTATTTATTTTGAAGGGAGAATTATTTTTTGCTTGTGGATTTGGGTGTGGGGGGGATGAAAGACGGGAGTGTCAGGGATGTTTGGCTTGCAAGATTTCCTAAGACAGTACAGGTACCATTCACTGAAATGGAAAGATCAAGGGAAGAACTGATTTTTGGATTTGAAATCAAATGCTTTGGTTGGTAACTTTGTTGTTATCTAAGAGACAAGTATTATTTGAGGACTCCAACATGTATTCCTGTGGTGACTTGGAGGTATATTTAGGTATTGTCAGTGTATAGGTAGTACTTAAATTTTGAAATGTATTGAGACAGAGAGAACACATTGTGAGAAGAGAAAGTCTGAGAACATTCTAGCATGTTTTCTAGAGACAGAGAAGGAGTAGGCAGTGATCTAAGAGGTGAGCTAAGAGATTGCTGCAGTAGAAGTAGATGATTGACATAGAACACTAGCCTTGGATTTGATCCTTGAATTTGGGAGTAGCTCTGGCTGGCTTCAGTGAAGTGGCAACAGGAAGTAATTGTTAGCAGAACAGGTCTGCTTGAGGGGGCTTCAGGAGAGAATGAGAGATGGTTTTGAGTGTAGATTCAGTGATGCCTTATTTTAAAAAGTAACAGAACCATTTTTACTCTTTAAACTAAAAGTTCTTTGTTTTGGGAATTACTTCAATTTTAAAACTTGTGGAGATGGCTCCAAAGCAACACAGAGAAACCCTGTCTTGAAAAACAAAACAACAAAACAAAACAAAGAAACTTGTGGAGAATGAACCTTTAAGACTACAAGCTTCTAGTTAAGGCTTTCCCCAGTTGCTTTATTGCACCTCTAAACGAGGAGATCCTTCTGTGAAATAATAGTATGTCATTGTATTGACTGTAGACACACTGAAAACACATGACATTTACAACTCTCCAGAGCCCAGCACGCCTGCCTTAGGAAACGGTGCACAGAAAGTCTTTCAGACATTCCCTGATGGTGACCATGGAATTTGTTTTCCATCACACATTGCTGTGGTTTGTTTGGTGGTCTTACTGACCCAGAAAAGAGCTTCGATTTATTTGAACCCTTATACTTAAAAATATTTTTAATGTATTTGAAAAGAAAAATAGCAGAGCACTAGGATGATAGTCTGACACCCAGGTTAGAACAGGCTTCCTTTAGACCACGGAGAATGAGCACACATTCTTACTTGTAAAAGCTTTTTTATTAAGTTATTTATATTTCATATATATGTGTTCTGCCTTCATGTATACCTGTGCACAATGTTCATGCTTTGCTCCTGAGGAGGCGAGAAGAGAAGGCCTCAGATCCCCTGAGACTGGACTAACAAAACTTGTGATCTGCCATGTGGGTGCTGGGAATTGAATCTGAGTCCTTTTAGAGAGCAGCCAGTGCTCTTAACCCCTGAGCCATCGCTCCAGTTCCTTACTTATAAAATCTGTTTCTTCCCCTTTGTTGGCATATTTGTAACTCTTCTGTCTTATTTTATATTTGTTTAGCTGTGAAGACAAGTAAATCTACATTGGGCCAAACAGATTTTCCAGGTGAGTAACAGTCTTATATTTAGTAAATATTCAGTATTTATGAGCACATTGTGATGTGCAGATTTATAGTTTTGTCACATGGTGTTTATTAGTTATATATTTAAAAAGAATATCACTTCCTTTAATTTGATATTATCTGATAATTTTTTTATTCATGTTATAGCTCATAGTCGGAAGCCAGCGCCTTCAAATGAGCCTGAATATCTCTGCAAATGGATGGGACTGCCTTACTCAGAGTGTAGCTGGGAAGATGAAGCCTTGATCGGAAAGAAATTCCAGAATTGTATCGACAGCTTCCACAGCCGTAACAACTCCAAAACCATTCCAACAAGAGAGTGCAAGGTTGGCCATTGTTGGCTTTTGTGTTTTTAGTTTTTATAGTTTTATATTTTGTTTTTTTGAGACAGAGTCTCTTATATTGCCCTGGCTGTCCTGGAACTAACTGTGTAGATCAGGTTGGCCTGGAACACACAGAGATCAATCTGCTGCAACCTGAGTGTTGGAATATATATATGCTGAGTGTGGTGGCGCATGCCTTTGATTTATATATTTATTTTGTGTGTGTGTGTATGTATGTATTTGTGGGAAGGTATTATAACCAAAGGGTTAGTTGTGCAGGTATATCGAAGCAAAGCAAGAATGAATGGTGATTTAAACGTAACATTAAATACAAATGATTACGGCATGGACTGGGACTATAGCTCAGTTAGCAGACTGTACCTGGCATGTGTGCAGCCTTTGGGTTTGATTGTGCATGCCTGTGATCCTGGGGTTCTGGAGGTAGAGACAGAGGGGTCAGAAATTCAAGGTCATCCTTGGCCTTGGAGTGAGTTCAGTGCCATCCTGGAATATACTTTACTTGGTGCAAAGTAAAAAGAAAGCTAAAGAAGAGGATTAGGGGCTGGAGAGATGACTTAGAGGTTAAGAATACTTACTGGTCTTGGAGAAGACCTGAGCGTGGCTCACAGCTGCCTGTGACTCCAATTCCAGGAGCTGCAGTGCCATCTTCTGACCCCTGAAAGGTCCTTGCACGCATGTGGTGCACAGTAGTATATTATTTTTTTAGAAATTTTTAAGAACACACTCATGTTTTTTAGAAAGAGTATCTGTTGTATAATAACTTTGCTGGTTTCTATAATTTACTACTTTATAGAGTTAGATATATTATTAGAAATTTTTGAAAATAGTCACTTTAAAACAAACAGGAAAGATGACTCTGAATATTAAATCAGAAAAGTACAGGCTTTTTATTGTCGGATTGGTTGTACCAGTGTTTCTGTGTTTTTGAAATTTGTTGAGATCTAGAAGTATGCTTGGTTCCTTGGACCGCCTTATAGAAGGTGAAGTTCATGTTGATAACGTCAGTCCCCTGTCTGTGAAAACCAGCATGTGTGTGTGGTGGAGAAGCTACAGAGCGGAGGTGGAGGCCACGGTTCTGGTGGGCAGTGAGGAGGTTTTCAGAGGAAAGCAGCCAGTGCTTACTTTGCCTCTGCTCTGAAAAGTGGATTGGTGCTTAATAGCATACAAGAAAGGGCTCTGGGGCCTGGAGAGTTGGCATAGTAGTTAAGAGCAGTTGTTGCTCTTGCGGAATACTGGGCTTCAATTCCCAGTACCCACATGGTGGCTTACAACCATCTGTAACTCCAGTCTCAGGGATCCAACACCCTCTTCTGACCACCTCAGGTACCAAGCACACATGTGGTGTATATACTTACATGCAGGTAAAACACTCATATACACAATACAATAATAAAATAAATCTATGAAAAACAGTGTTAAAAAGAGCAAAAGACCTCAGGATTGACTTTCCATGAAGGGTACAAAAGAATTTTGTAATAGAAAACTTGTGGATCTGAAGGTAAGGCCGAGCACATTTCCTTCACACGCGTCCTGACTGTGTTGGTGGAGGTGTGACCTGACTGTCCTACAGTTTTTGGGACCTTGCACTGTAGAGGGCCAGGTTATGATCAGCGTTTATTTGAAGGCTTCAGATAATGACAGTGAGTAGGAGACGAGAGCCAGAAGATCCATCGAGTAATATGATACAGTAATTGAAGACTGCATGGAGGGCCAATTAGCCGAGGCATGGGAAGGTTGTTTTGTCAGGCCTAGATGAATGGCTAGTGTAGAAGGTGAGCATGAGGAGCCAGACTGTATCCTTGCATAGGAGAGTTGAATGTACTAATGACCACACAGTTATGGCGGTAATTCCCACAAAAGATAAAGGCACCTTGCAGAAAGACTTGAGGAATTCATCTTATAGCTATACATGCGTAGACTTTGAAAGTCCTGAGTAGAGAAACTTGCATAACTTTGAATGCTTTGTTTGCGCCCCAAACTGATTTGACTGCAGAGTCCACGTTTTGTGTAAGCAGTAGTCTTGGCCTTAGTAGAGTGCAAATTTTCAAACCTCCAGCAGTGGAAAGAGCAACTTTTCCTTCTGGAAACTAGACTCACAAGGTTGGGGACTCAATGTAAGTGGGCTGAACCTCAGAGTTCCCAGTTACAGTATTTGTAGGATTGCTTGTTCAACATCTCTCAATGACAAACTTCCAGAGTGTTAATATGTGTGCCACACAGTAAAGGATGAGAAAATATGGAGCTAATTTATGCTCATAACTTTATTTCAGAAAAAGAGCAAGTTATTTAAAAATACTTGACTTCAGGATGAACTCTGAGAATAGACAGTACTGGGATGGGGTAGGGTGGGGTAACTATTCATATCTGAAATTAAGCTTTTTTTGGCATAGAGTACATAAAATACGGCTAACATTGTAATATAAGAGCAGGGGACAATGTTTCTAAGACGTAGGTTTTGTTAATTTTTGTTTTTCAGGCACTAAAGCAAAGACCACGATTTGTAGCTTTAAAGAAGCAGCCAGCATACTTAGGAGGGGAGAATCTGGAGCTCCGGGATTATCAGCTAGAGGGTCTCAACTGGCTTGCTCACTCCTGGTGCAAGTAGGTAGAAGATATGGCTAGATTGTTCTCCACTGTGTTTGGCTTATTTTTATCCTAAGTTATGGGGACCACTTAGGCTTTGAGAATTTAAGTGATTCAAGATAAACGTGATTTCTCTTCATTATGTGACGTGCATGTGAGGGCTTCCTTTAGTGCCAATGACAGAGTCTTCTATGCATATTTTTTTATAAAGAAATTTTACACACACAAAAGCACACCCACACAAGAAAACCCAGAGCATACACACACGCGCACGCGTGTACACGCGCACACACAGACTGTGTGTTTTCCTGCATGTATGTCTGTGTACCACTTGTGTGCCTAGTACCCATAGAGGCCAGTTGAGGGCATCAGTATCCTGGAACTGGAGTTACAGATGGTTGTGGGCTGCCTTGTGGGTGCTGGGAATTGAATCAGGTTCTCTGGAAGAGCAGCCAGTGCTTTGAATCACTGAGCCATCTCTCCATCCCCACCCTTTCTTTGTGTCTTCTTTATTTTCTTCCTGAGACAGGGTTTCTCTCTGTAACAGCTCTGGCTATTCTGGAACTCACTTTGTAGACCAGGCTGGCCTTGAACTCATAGAGATTCACCTGCCTCTGCCTCCCTAGTGCTGGGATTAAAGGTGTGTGCTGCCATGCCTGGCTTGTGTCTTCATTTTTCTTACAGGCGATGCTTTCTAGTTACAAACACGTTTACAATAACGATTTCCCAGGTGAACCCACCTTCAAAACTTATCTTTCAATTGAATGTAGTGTTTAAGACTCTGGAGAAAATCCAGTATTTGAGCTTCAGTTTGTATGAGAAAGTGGGTCACAACCATTTTAGTTGCTTAAAAAAGATTTTCCTTAACCCTACCCATACTCATGCAGGCAAACCTAATTAAATGCAGTGGCAGTTATCATATAGACACAAACAGATATGAAAGTAGGTAAGAGACTTGGGAAGAAGGGGCTTGGTTTGGTGGAGGGAGTATGGGATAAGAGGAAAATGGAGGGATTGAACAAAGAATATTATGTGTATGAAATTATAGAGCAAATACTTTAAAAGATTTTCCTTTCAGAAGATAATAAGTCCTACTCTTTTTAGGGATCAGTATTAACTTAATGTAACTAAAGAGGTTATATGAGCTAGCCCTTTTATTCTACAATTTAGGGTGCTTAGGAGCCAGGATACCAAGACTTTTCTCGAGAGTTGTAGAATATTTGCAGGTGGGTTTTTTTTTTTTTTTTTTTTTTTTAAAAGAGTCTCATTGTGGCTCTGACTTGCCCTAGGACTCACTATATAGACCAGTTTTGCTGAAAACCCGGAGATCTGTCTGCAATCTTGGCAAATTAAATGCCTTGTTCTTGTTTTTCTAGCTAGACATTAACTTTTATTTTTTTCTTTCAGTTCACTGGTTCACTAGTGAAGCACACACACACACACACATACATACATACATACATACAATGCATACCATCAGTTCATTGGGGACAGAAAGACTTTAGTTCACTAGTGAAGCACACACACACACATACATACAATACATGCCATCAGTTCATTGGGGACAGAAAGACTTTAGGTTGAAGTACAGTCACAGTAGCATGAGCATAGCTAAAGGAACAAGGACCGGGCTGTTGGGGGGTGGGGCAGCGGCTTCTCTCCAGGCCCAGGAACAAGAATGCAAAGACCCACCCACTCACGGGTCCTGAACAGCTTCTAACTGTCAGCACTTACCCCTCTGGCTGTACCTCATGCTGCTTCTTCTTTCAAACCATGTGTACTGATGTTTGACTTAATGAGCAGCGACAGTTAAATCTTCCAGATGTCAGAAAAAGCAGGAAGGGAAGAATGACCAATAGCCCTTCCTAAACTAGGCTGGGCAGATCCTCCAGAGGGACTGTCAGCACCTTTATTCCCCTTCTCAGGCTTTGCAAGCGGGAAAGAGAGCTGGTTTCTGCAGGGAAATGTAGTCCCCTACTACAGATAAAGATGCAAGCAGGAGCACAGGAGAGTAAGCCACTTAGATTAAGCTGAGTTTATGGCACTGGGATTGGGTTATACACGTACTCTGATCAGGGAAGGACTCACATGAACTGCAGTACCCTGAAACAGCATAAAGCTATAAACAACAAGCAAATTCAGAGCTCTGAGGCTCCTTGGCACACCCACAGCTCTGATGCTTGGGGAAATCCAGAACCTCAGCTAAATAAAGGATGGTCTTTTATAAGTTTGCTTATATTGCATGTGTACCTCATATGTATGTATATATAACTGCATGTCTCACATGAAGGAATCTTGTCTTCCCTAATATGTGGGTTGTGGAGATTGAGCTTGAGTAGTTAGGCTTTGTGGCAAATGCCTTACTCTTTGAGCTATCTCATTGGCCCTTGAAGAAAGAGCCTTGCAGAAATGTTTACAGACTGTACCATACATCAGTTTCTAGTTTCCTGACTACTTTCTGTTTCCCAAGCATACTTTCCTAACCTTGCTCATTTTCTTCATCTAGTTTTTTTTTTTTTTTACATGTGTACAATTAAAGAAACAAATGTGGAATCCAGCCCATTTCCAGATCCAGTGTTGCTTAGACTGCCCATGAGCACTGGATCAGTCTTCAAAGGCTGATGTACTACCTTTTCTACTAACTCTTCAAGGCAGAGGAAAGAAGAGTGCAAATACCAGATCAACCTGAACAACACAGCGGGACTCTGCTTCATAACAAAACAAAACAAACCCCTCAGAATCCTGCACTCTTTCTTGAATAGTCTCTAGTATATGCACAAATAACACATAGTAGGTCCAGAATGAGCCCCAGAAGTCTAGACTGTGACATATTTAAAACAGTTCCTCTTTGCCTAGAACATATAAGGCCCTGGGCTCTATCTCCAGCACTTCAAACAAGGGTCCTTCACACCCTGCATCAAGCAGGTGTATAAAATAGTAGATATGGTATTGGACAGTCAAGTGGAACACAGTGGAAAGGGGAGGTAACGTGAGCAGAGGCACATGACTCTTGGAGTAAGAAGCACGGCGATAGCCAGTTTCCTTGGTTTGTATATTGATGAACCAAAGGCTACATACTTGTATGCATCTATGATAGAACTGTCTTCACTGTTAGGAGGGATAGCCTATGGTAGACAATATAACTCGAAGCCTTACATATAAGATAGAAACAATTAGAGGAATCTTTTGTAATCTGAATCTTGAATATTCTTCCAGATAGATTTGCCTGATCTGTTGTTCCTGTCTTCTGCTTTCTTCCTTATTTAGGATGTTTAAGTCATTAAAAATGAAGGTGAGGAGAAATTCATTGAAGGTCTCTGATGCCTTTCTCTGCTGGTATTGTCAAGTGTATAATTGGTGACATACTGTTTTCTCATGAACTAATAATTTGTTTGTGTTTTTTTCTTACTGCAGAAGTAACAGTGTAATCCTTGCTGATGAAATGGGCCTAGGAAAGACCATTCAGACCATATCATTTCTCTCCTACCTGTTCCACCAGCACCAGCTCTATGGACCCTTTCTTATAGTCGTCCCCTTATCCACCCTCACTTCATGGCAGAGGGAGTTCGAAATCTGGGCCCCAGAGATTAACGTGGTGGTTTACATAGGCGACCTGATGAGCAGAAATACGGTGCGTAAGCAAAAGGAGTTGAAGTAGCATGTGTGTTAAAAATGTATTTTAGAATTGACTGAAAATATTTTGTAGATGTATAAAACTATAGTAAACTCTTGAGTAAAATTATTCATACATGCTGGGCAATGGTGGTGCACACTTTTAATCCCAGCACTTGGGAGTCAGAGGCAGCCTGGTCTACAGAGCAAGTTCAAGGACAACCAGGGGTGTTACACAGAGAAATCCCATTTCAAAAAAGAAACAAAACAGAACAAAATCATTCACACATTGTGTACTATGGGCTCAGTACTTGGAGGTCTGTCAATGCAACTCATCTTCTTTAATACATTGAACAAGGTGTATACTACTTTGTTTTAAAACAGCAATAATTCCATGGGAATCTCTTAGGCTGCACTGTTTTCTTTCTGATTTACTCTTCTCTCTTCCTTCTCTTTTCCCTCCTAGTGTCTCACTATGTAGCTCAGGTTGGCCTCTAACTTGTAGCAATCCACCTGCCTCAGCCCCTGAGAGCTATGAGTATTAGCATGTATTACCACTACTAGTTTGATCTTTTTATTTAAGATTACCTTTTCTTATGGAAAATTAATGTCTTTGCTGTCTTACTCAAAATGTTATTGGGAAGGCTTGAGTTCTTAGAATTTATTTCCCGATCTCTTAACTTCATAACTTGCAAGAAAGAAATAAAAATAAAGGAAAACAATACATTTCTAGGACTGCAGAAAAGAGAGTTATTTGGTATCAAACAATGCCTTGAACATCATGAATTTAGCACATAGTGATATAAATTTGTCTTTGTTTAGAAATTTTTTTTTCTTTTGAGTACTTACTATATGTTGGTTCTTGTGTTGGTGCTTTTATTTGTATCCCTGTAATATTTGTGATAGTCCTCAAAATTAATGGCAACAAATACCTGGCAGACTGCTGAAGACTGTCCAGGAAGTCTGTCTCACCTTGCTGTTAGATGACTCGAATGGGGCACTGGAGCCTTAGCTCAGCAGACACAGCTGTGCCCTTTTGAAGACTGCTTGTAGTTAGAGCAGGTCACCAGGAATCTTTAACAATTTACAGAAGTGCTGTAAGCACATTTGCATGGGTTCAAACTTGTTTTTATTGAATGCTGTCATTTTGCCCGCACTTGGTTGGGTTAGAATTGTAGCTCAGTTGATAGACCCTAGCTTGCGAGACCCTGAGTTTGATTGCCAGCCCTGCAAGCAAAACAAAATGAGAAAAATTGTCTGATTATAAACTTCATTAGGCTTCGGTGCCATAATTTTGACTTTCTAAGACATAATAGTTCTTAGTTCTTCTAATTTGTTAGTTATTAAAGGAGAAGGAAGCCCGTGGGAATTTGATTTGTGGCAGGTACCAGTTCTCCTTCCCTTTAGTCTTTGGTGGTAATCACCTGCAAATGCTCATCGTCTGGAGTTCTGCTTTCTCAGTCAACACACACAAGACCTTTGTCAGTAGGCATTGTGTTTGCTGAATTTCTGGTCATGTTTCAGAATGGGTTCATTAATTTTCTAGTTTCTTTATATGCTCAATATTTTCTACTTATGTTAAGTTCTACTTTTACTCTGTAAAATTTCTTTTCTTGAATGTATCAGTTAACTTGGATGAATGAAATTTCTGGCCTATAATTTGTCATGTTTTAGTAAATATCACTGTATCTAAGAAATAATGGAAATTTTATTTTCTTAAGAACACTTCAGGGGTCTGGGAAAGCCTTCCATTATTGAGTTCAAGTGCCCAAAGGTTGTTTTTTTTTTCCCCCAAGACGGGTTTCTTTGTTTAATAGCCCTGTCTGTCCTGAAACTTACTTTGTACACCAGGTTGGCCCTGAACTCCCAGAGATCTGTCTGCCTCTGCCACCTCAGTGCTGGGATGTTACATCAAACCCAGCAAGTTCCTGAAGTTTGATTGTTGGGAAATACTGCACACATCAGATCTTTGAGGGTGGTTTGGGTTGTTTGCAATGACGAATGATTTTCCTGCTTAGTGCAACATATTGATTCTGACTCAGTGTTCAATGTTTGAGTTAGTTAAGTTTCTTTAGAGTACATAGGCTATTCATTCCATTTTTGTGAGACTTTTATTTTTGTCATTTTTATTCCATCTATTATAAAACTTGTTACAAATTTGGAAGATGAAATTGTGTTTTAATTACTATTTTTTTCTTCTTATAGATAAGGGAATATGAGTGGATTCATTCTCAAACCAAAAGGTTGAAGTTCAATGCACTTATAACAACATATGAGATCCTCTTAAAAGATAAGGTGTGTAATTATTCATAAAAAAGTTAAATCTTGGGTGTTGGGGAGATGGCTCAGAGGTTAAGAATTAAGAATACTGCTCTTCCAGAGATCCCGAGTTCATCTCCCAGCAACCACATGGTAGTTCACACCATCTATATTGAAATCTGCTGCCCTCTTCTGGTGTGCAGGCAGAACACTGCATATATAATAAATAAATCTTTAAAAAAACAAAGTTAAGTCTTGCCCATGTGTGTCATACTTAGTAGTGGGGATAGTGGGGACCGTGCTTCCTACTTGTCAGTTATTCTTCCGGTTTTGTTTAAAAAGCCAAGCAAAGAAACAAGCTTAAGATATTCCTCAGATACTACAATTGTAAGTAGAAACCAAACCTCACAGTTGAATGGAGCTCAGGTCGACCAAGTCCAGTTGAGCTGAGCAGGAGGCAGGAGGAAGCACTGAGCTACAGTACAGAGACTGGAGAGCCTTTGCTAAAGTTACTAAGTGGTAACTGTTTTTTTATTCAATTTGGTGGTTTTGTGTTTTCTGTGTTTCAGGGTTGGGGTGGGAAATAGGCAAGAAAATAGTCTTGAAAAGACAGTCACATGAAATTTTTGTTTCTGCTTTTGTTCAGCATAGTTTTCATCCTCTTGCCGAGCTTGCAGTAGTGGTTTGTGTAAGAGACTCACTAAAAGTGGAGAGGATGAGGTACTCTTTTTTTTTTTTTTTTTTTTTTTTTTTTTTGTTTTTTGAGACAGGGTTTCTCTGTGATTTTGGAGCCTGTCCTGGAACTAGCTCTTGTAGACCAGGCTGGTCTTGAACTCACAGAGATCTGCCTGCCTCTGCCTCCCAAGTGCTGGGATTAAAGGCGTGCGCCACCACCGCCCGGCTGGATGAGGTACTCTTGACTCTGGCCATTGCTAGAACAAGCAGAAGAATCCTAATAGATATTAAATTTGTGAAGAATAAGCGTGCCTACCTGTGTATGTTTGTGATGGTGTTTATGCAGAAATGCTTTAATGTGTAAGCACTGTGGGTTTCCTTCTGACCTAGTGGCTCGTTCTCTTCTGTTTTTTACTTTAGACTGTGCTGGGCAGTATTAACTGGGCCTTCCTGGGAGTAGATGAAGCCCATCGGTTGAAGAATGATGACTCTTTATTGTATAAAACTCTGATTGATTTCAAGTCCAGCCATAGGCTACTGATCACGGGCACCCCTCTGCAGAATTCCCTCAAGGAACTTTGGTCCTTGCTGCACTTTATTATGCCGGAGAAGTAAGCTCCTTCCTGTTTCTTTCAAAAGGTGCTAGAATGTCTGATTGCAAATGCCCCCCCCCCTTTTTTTGTATTTTTAAAATAAGGGTCTCATGTAGTCTTGGCTAGCCTGGAACTAACTATGTAGACCAGGCTGGCATCAGTATCATAAGAGGTCATCTTGCCTCTGTCTCCCAACTGCTGGCATTAAAGGCTGCACTGCCATGTCTGGCAACTTTTTGATGTTCTTAATAGGCTTAACATAACTGATGGCATGGGAGGCAAAACATTTATCTGTGGCAGAAGCAGCTGTACTGCAGTCTTCTATAATAAAGTGATAAAAACTAAAGAAATTAGCCTGTTAAGGAGGACTATAGAATTGCCTACCAAACGTTTGAATTAGTTAAAGCATTTGGAAAATAATTATTAAGACATGAGAGTCAGATGGGGTAGTGATTCTTTTTGTACCCTATCCCAGTACTTGGGAGGTTGAGGCAGGAGGATTAGGAATTCAGCTACATAGTGAGTTTGAGGCCATTCTAAGCTCCATGTAAGTCTGCTTCAAAAAGCATAAAACAAAACAAAAACTGAAAAGCCACGTGAATGAAGTATATGGTGTACATAGTCTGACATGTCTTAAATTCTGTCTTTGCTAATAGAAGCATTAGTTTTAGTCCTTGCTCAAATCAACTTGCTTCTTACAGGACTTTGGCTTATCTCTAGTATAAATTATATAGGATAGATACATAGTATATATATTCATTCTACAGTCTTAAATTATCTAGTGGTTTCCAGTGACAACTTAGATGAAATCTAAGTTCCTTCCTCTAGTGTGAAGGACTGTACTGAGCTGGATCCTGGCTCATACTGACTCCAGCACTTGTTCTATTAGTCATTATGTTTCAGCCCTCCTGGCCATCTTTCTGTCCCTTCCACATGCTGTCCCATTCCTACTCTGTCTTGTCTGGAATGCTTCTCCTTACTTTTACAAGACAGCCACCTCCTTTCTTAGCCTTCTCTCCTGTACGCAGAAGTTTGTGTCCCAAAGAAACACACAGAGGCTTATATTAATTATAAACTCTTTGGCCTATTAGCTCAGGATTATTATTAACTAACTTTACAACTTGAATTAACTCATAGTTCTTGTCTATGTTTAGCCATGTGGCATAGTACCTTTTATCAGTGAGGCATTCTCATCTTGCTTTCTCTGCTTCTGACTGGTGACTACAGACTGAGCCTTTCCTCTCCCAGAATTCTCCTAGTCTGGTCACTCCACCTACTCTTCCTGCTTACCTACTGGCCAACCAGTGCTTTATTAAACCAATACGAGTGTCAAATCTGTACAGGGTACAAGAGCATTATCCCCCGTGTGGTTTGCTGCATAGCACCTCTTCATCTGTTAACACTAAATTAGGCATGTGGAAATACTAGTGATCTTGGTTGCTAGTCAACACTGGTTCACATTACCTGGATTAGCAACTGAGACACAGTAAGCAATTGAATTACTAATTGTATAATCGTCAGGTAAATGTTCCATAATATATTTTTCTTTATAAGTACTAAGGATGTTCATCATCTTCTTATTTTCTCTTTGGCTATTCGGGCTTCTTTAGTGAAATCTTTATTCATATCTTTTCTTGTTAAGAAAATTAGAAAAATTGAAACTAGCGAGCTGGCTTAGTGGTTAAGAACATTTGCTGCTCTTGAGAGGATCTGGGTTCAGTTCCTAAAAACTCCATGGTGGCTAACATGGAGTCTGTAACTCCAGTTCCAGGGAATTTGCAATCTCTTTTAGCCTCTGCAGGCACTGCATGTACTTAGTATATCAACATACATGCTGGCAAACACTTATACACATAAAATAAAGATAAATAGAATTTAAAAAGCATAGCTTTGGTTTTTTAAAATTGAGTTGACAATATATGGGTTGAACAATTTATTTCTTTAAAAACACTTCTGGATACAGGTGCTCTCAATAGATAAAGCACTTTTGTCTAAATAAAGTGTATGATTGGCTTTTATCAAGTAATTTTTTTGTGTGACATGTGTAGAGTAGATAGGCCTAACCATGGGCTATGAAGACATTTTAGCTGTCACATTAGGTGCGTATTTTACTTTGAGGCATTTAGTATATGGAGTGTGAGGACCTTGATTCATTTTTCTTCACTGAGCAGTCTGGAAATTTGTTCCAACATTATTGTTGAAGACGTGTCGTTTGTTGGAAATCTTAATAGAGACAGGATTTGCTTCTGGTCTTTCAATCCTGGGCTGTGATACTTATTTTAGTCTGCACAGCAGTCTTGAGTGTCTGCTTCCTACTGGTGTTTAACATGGAGAAGTATAAGAATCCGTTTCTTTCTTTCTTAGAGTATTTCGTGTACTCGTAAGGGCTTTGCATCCTTGCTTCACAATCAGCTCATTAATTTCTGGGGGAAGAACCTACTGTAGTTTTGTTGGGATTGCCTTGAATCTAGGTATCAGTTAAGGTGCTTTGTTGTTTTCGTAGAACGCTGAAATCCTTGTGTGCTGAGTGGGTCAGTGCTTCCCACTGAGCTCATCATATATCCTGGGCCCTCTAACCTTGTTTTCTTCATCTCACTTTTATACTGTACTAGAGTCTTGAGCTACAGTTGAGGATGGAGCTGTGGTTAGGGTCTAGAGCTCCAGTTAATGTAGGGCTATGTTTGAGGGTTACATATTTATCTGGTGTCCATAAATTTATTTTTATAACTTTTTTATTGTTACCAATTTTTTTGTATTTTTACTTTGGGGACCATATTTCTGCAGGTACAGGCTTTTCAGTGTCTTTCTTATGTGAATGCTCTTTATATCTTGCCTTAGTTAATGTTCTGTAGAACCTTGGTGTTGGATGGAATTGGTGGAAACAGGGAAACAGAGCATTAGATACAAGTTATTTATTTTTTGATTAGTTGAGGCATTTTCTTGGATATAAATAGTGATAGGGTTGGATCTGTTCCTGTCATTTGGCTACTTGTTTCCATGGTTCATGTTTATTCCTAGTTCTCCTTCTCTGCTTTGCTTAGTGTATGTATTTTTAGTGTACTGTGTAATTCTTCTCTTAGTCTGTGTTACTATTTTAAAATGATTTACTCTTAGATTGTCTAGGGATTCTGTAGTTCAGCCTAATCTCCAAGGCTAATGCCAGCTTAATTCTTAAAAAGGCTAGCAACTTTGTTCCACAATGGCTCCACCTTAAATTCTCTTGGCTAGAAACTCAAGAATACAGCAGTAATTATTGGTTAACACTGGATTGCCTTTTAAGGAAGCACTGAAAAGAGAAAAATAACACTTGTATTTTATCATTTCCAGGTGATCTTTATTTCTTCCTGTGGATTGAGGTTTCTGTAGGCCTTTTTTTTTTTTTAGCTCAAAGGGCTAACTTTAGTGTTTTTTGTAAGGCAGACCTATAGGCAGCAAGTTTACTGTCTTTATTTGCTTTTGACCTTTTTGAAACAGTATTATTTGTGAGACTGTTTAGGATCCCCTATGGTGGTTTGAGACATGGAATCTCTTGGGCTAGCTCCACTGCAGTTGTTACTTGAGCAGATGAACATTTCTCCCCTCCCTTTCCTTCCCCTCCCATTCTCTCCCCTCCCCTCCCTTCCCCCTCTCTCCTCTCTCCCTTTCCTCACTACAGTATTTTTCTGCGAGGAGAGTTCTCTGCACCCCTCCATTTAGTCCTATCTCATAGTGCTGGGCTTCTTACCTTTGGGTTGGACTGGACACTCCCACCCTCACCCCAGCTGCCTTGTGTCATTTTTCTTGTAGGACATCTAGCAGTATTCTTGGCGTCTACGCAGGCCAGGTGTCACAGCTAAAAATGTCTCCAGACATTACCAGTGTCTCCCTTGGGGATGGAGGGGTAACCATCGACAGAACAGCACTATTTAGAGTTCTGGCTGATATCTCTATTTGCTGCATGTGTGTCCTTTCTCATTGCTGCTCTTCGTCCCTGTCTGCTTACTGGATCCCTCTTTCCTTCCCTGGAGATCACAGTCAGCAGTGGCCGTAGCAATTACTTTACACAATTTCCCACAAAATCCCTGACAGAAGCAACTTGAGGGAGGGTGATTTTTGGCTTACAGTTTTAGTACACAGCACATTGTCGATAGTGGCTGCAGCTGACCACACTGCATCAACCAGAACACAGACCATGATGAATTGCAGGTGTCCACCTGCTGAGCCACCTTGTCGCTTTTTGAAATTTTAGAATTAGATTTTTTTATTCCCTTCTTTTTTGTTGAAGATTTAGAATTAGATTTTTTTATTCCCTTCTTTTTTGTTGAAGATTCATTGATGGACAAATTTTGCCTTTCCATGCATTATGAATTGAAGGATTGAAGGTTATTTTGTTTTAAAATCCCCTCCAAGCCCCCCTACTCCTAGTTCAGTTCTTATTTGTTGTGAAAATGTCCTTCTTTTCATATAACTGATGGTGACAATGTCATCCGTAGGTTTGAGTTCTGGGAAGATTTTGAAGAAGACCATGGAAAGGGGAGAGAGAATGGCTATCAGAGTCTTCATAAGGTACTAGAGCCCTTCCTTCTTCGGAGAGTCAAAAAAGATGTGGAGAAATCACTTCCTGCCAAAGTGGAGCAGATTCTCAGGGTGGAGATGTCAGCCCTTCAGAAACAGTATTATAAGTAAGTTCCTGTTACGAGCTAGATGAGTCATAAGCAAGACGTGCCTTTTTAAAAGTAATTAAGTCTAGACCCTTGCCAGTCTGGCGAGTTCTCAGTAGTAAAGTTTTCTATTTTTTTTATTTTGTTTTTTTGAGACAGGGTCTCTCTATGTAATTCTACCTGGTCTTGAACTCAAGAGTTCCACCTCCCTACAGAATACTAGGAACAGGCCTGAGCCTAAGCTTTGCTTTCTTATAGCAGTAGGAATTGGATTTCAGCCGTGGGTAATCATTGAGCTTTGTAGACTCAACACAGAATTAGGTTAAAATTCATACTCAGTTAGATAAAAAAAAAAAAGGAATTTGTTTTTCTTTGAGTAAGCGAGAATTTCCACGCAATTCTTGTTACATAAACGATCAGAAGTTTTTCAAGCAAAACATTTTTTGGGAAGATTTATTTATTTTATGTTGTATTTATATGAGTATTTTGCCGTACCACATGCATGCCTGTTACCTGCAGAGATTAGAAGAGGGTGTCAGATCGCGTGGAACTGGAGTTAAGGATGGTTGTGGACCACCACTTCTGTCCTGGGGCCCAAACCCAGGTCCTCTACAAGATCAGCCAGTGCTCTTAATTACCAAACCAGCTCTGCAGCCCGTAATTTCTAGTGCTAATACTCCTATACTAAGTAGGTATTGGTTAAGCTAGACAATTTTTGTTTTCCATTCAATAAATCTCTTGTGAAGTTTTTAATGCTAGGCATTCTTCTAGCTACTGGGAATAATAGAGATGAATGAAACATGTCCCTTCCCGAAGCCTTGTTGTATGGCTAGAAACATGTCATTACAACACAGTCTCATTTAAGACAGGAACGTGACTTGCAAGGGCTTTTGAAAGTCCAGGAGAGATAACTCTCACCTCTAGAGCAGTGAGTACTCCTTCCTGTCTAGCATTCCAAGCAGTATGGCCAAAGCCATGTTTTTGGCTCACTGTATTATTACTGAAATTTGAAAATGGTGAGTCTGGCATAGATGACAGAATAAAATGTGTTTGTTATTAGCTTTCACATTTAATTTTCATAAAATGTTGTGCATTAATGTGTGTGCATATACATATTTCTGGAAGATCAGACTAGGGCCTCATATGTGCTGGGGCAGATTGTGCTGAACTGTAGGTGGTTCCAAACTCCCATTTGGCTTTTAGAGATATTATTATGGGGCGTTTCAAATATAAGCAAAAATAGTACAGTGTTTACTCATCTGCTCATAATCCAGCTTCAGTGGCCATTAATTAGTCTACCCCTATGTTTTCTTCTACTCCTCTTTTGGTGTGTATCTTCAAAAGAGAAGGACTTCTTAATCAAAAATTTATCCTGTTACCATGCTTAAAAGTAGTTAATAATTCCTTAACAATATAATAATCTCCACAGAACGTTTACATTTCCCAGTTGACGCGCACACACACGCACAGGAACATTCATGCTTTTTGTTTGGGAATCTGCATAATTCTCTCCATTATAATTTGTTAGTTTGTCTTTTTCATATATTAATTCTTTTTTTTTTGGTTTTTCGAGACAGGGTTTCTCTGTGGCTTTGGAGCCTGTCCTGGAACTAGCTCTGTAGACCAGGCTGGTCTCGAACTCACAGAGATCCGCCTGCCTCTGCCTCCCGAGTGCGGTATATATTAATTCTTAAAGAAAACCCTTGGCCTTTGAAAATGTTTCTTTTCAAGATAGAGTCTTGTGTGTACATCAAGTTGACCTCAGCCTCCTAGTACTGTGTGTTCCACCACATTGATTTTGTAAGGTGTGTGTGTGTAACATGTTCATGTGTGTACACATTATGTGTACACTTTATGTATGTTTTTAGCGCACTTGCATTTGACTCTTTGGTATCAGGTCTGGTGTGGAATTTTCCATTTGTGGAACCATGTTCATACTTAGAATGTTTTGGAGTTTGGAGTTTGGAGTTCTGGGATAGGAATGCTATCCTTATTGTAGTTGATAGCTGCTTTACCCTCTAAAATGGTAGAGTGTTTCATGTTCATCTCCTTTTACTCTCTCAAACTGGAGCCAAGCAGTTAGGAATTATACCTACTATTTTACTGGGAGATTGTACATGTAGACTGCAGACTTGTGGTCCAGGGGTGCTCTTGGTGGATAGAATTAATGGATTCCTTACACTTAAAGAATATCAATATTCTCTACTTGTGAACTGAGTAGTCTGCAGGTCTCCTTTCTTCTGCCCCAGCGTATTGGTTGCTGGAGTTACAGGCGTGATGTTACTGGCTGCCACCCATTTCCCTCCCCAACCCTTTTGGTAGGATCTCACTGTTTAGTCTCACTTGGCCTTGAACTTGATACTCCTCTAGACTTGGCTCCTGAGTGCTGGGATTAAGGACTGGATTTAGTTGTGCACCATCATGGTACTCTTATCTGGGAGTACCAACCATCTCATCTGAGTGTGGACCTGCGGTTTATTTGTCCCATTCTCTGGTGTGCACACATGGACCTTTTCAAGTACTTTGGCTTTATAAATGGTGATGCAGTGAGCATTGTGAGAGACATTTCCCAAACTATGGTTATTATGAGAAATGTAAAGATGCCATTACTCAGATAAAGGTACTTTAAACATTTTGGAATTTATTACTAAGGCTTATCTATAAGTATACCATAATATATATATTTCTCCTCATCATTTCAAATTGGTAATATAAAACGTTAATACTTAACATTATTTAGCAATTTGTACTATAAAATACTCCTTTTCAATCTCTCATAATTGATACATATATAATGAATATATAATACACACATGTGTTTTCTGTATTTTTTGGAGACAAGTTCTCTCACTATAGCCTGTGCTGACTGCACTGACAGTCCTCTTACCATGGCCTGCTGAGTGCTGGGCTTACAGATGTGCGCCACCATGCTAGCTTCCACAGTCTGTTTAGCTGAACCAGTGTCTTACTGTTAGATGACTTACTCTCCATTTCAAAAATTTCTGTAAAAGAGCTTCAGTGATAGTCCCTTATTCCCCCCCTGGACATGTACATACATATGTATATATGAGTGTGTATGTAACTTTCTAGAATTGTCCTTTAGTGTTCTGTGACACACTCAGTAGAATCATTGATGTTTTAGCTTCGAGATGGAGATGTGAGTGATCACAGTTAGGTAATAGGAAGTAAAAGTCTCTCTGTCTTTTAGCTTTTATTTCTTATGGTACCATAAACTCTGCTTATTTGCAAATGTTGTCAATTTGCAGGTGGATCCTGACCAGGAATTACAAGGCTCTTGCCAAAGGAACCAGGGGCAGCACATCTGGCTTTCTTAATATTGTGATGGAGCTGAAGAAATGCTGCAACCACTGCTACCTGATCAAAGCTCCAGAGGAGAACGAGAGGGAGAACGGCCAGGAGGTCCTCCAGGTGTGCAGTTCCTCCTTCATGGAACCGCTTTCTCAGCAGTGACCAGGCTTGCTTTAGATTTTTATTTTAATCAAAGTGTTCCTTCTCTTCCTTGGTTACCCTTCAAGGGGCATCAGAAGAAGCTTTGAAAAACACGAGAAAAGTCAGATATCATACTGGTGTGGAGTTGAGGGAGCCCTTGGATGTGATGGGGATGTTGTGGGGCAGAAGGGTCTTGAGTTTGAGGACAATTCAGGGTTCACTTGGTCTGCATAGTGAGACCTTGTCTCCAAACAAAAATGATGAAAAAACTTAAGTAAAGTGCAGGAAGCATAGTACTGTGGATGTCATGTTTAAAGAACTTTTTGTCAATGTTGTGTTTGAATTTAATGGTTGAGTCGTCTTCTGAATCTTCAGTCCCTTATCAGGAGCAGTGGGAAGCTGATTCTGTTGGACAAACTGTTGACAAGACTCCGGGAAAGGGGAAACAGAGTCCTTATCTTCTCTCAGATGGTGAGGATGTTGGATATTCTGGCCGAGTACCTGACTATCAAACACTACCCTTTCCAGGTAAGGCGGCTCAGTTACTGCTCTCACACAGTCTATCTGTCTGTCTTCTCTCTTCCCCACTTTACTGGAGTAGAGGACAAGTTTTCTATCCTGAAAAGCATCTGAAATTAAGATTCTGGGAAGGTTTCAGTTTTTCTTCATGCCTTTAGACTACTCTGTTATGATAATGAACATGTGAAGGTCATTCTTAAAACACAGAAACAAAGACAATTTATTTTTTGCTTTCTCTATATATAGTCTTGGCTTTTCTGGAACTTAACTATGTAGCCTAGGCTCGTCTCAAACTCACAGAGATCTACCTGCCTATGTTTCCCAAGTGCTGGGATTTAAAGTGTGTGCCACTATGCCCAGCAACAGTTTCTTTACTTTCAGAAAGAATTGAGTAAAGACGCATGCGTAGGCATCTGTGTGCCATGGTGCCTGTGTGAAGAGCAGAGGCTAACTCTGAGCAGTTGTTTTTCTCCTTCCACCATGGACTCTGAGCTCAAGCTCAGGTCCTTAGGTCTGTGCAGCAAATGCTCTCTACCCACTGAGTGTAGCCACAATCATTAGTGTCAGGACAAGGTGACAGAAAAGATGGGCAAAAGAAATGTTCCAATCTATCCATGTCTGTTGTCAGAGTAGACAGTAGTAAGTGTGAACCTGATTATAGAATCCCAAATCCGCAGAAGAGGCAGCGTTATTTTATCTTAACCCTATAGAATGTGGCCTTGGTTTGAGGTTGGGAGCAAAGCAGAACTTCCCAGAGCAAGTTGTAGTGATTCTCAGTAGAACTGTCTCAGTGCTCCTTGCTGCTGGGACTTAATAGGAGGGGTTTCTTATTTCAGATACTGGCTGTGAACCTGCCTTTGTAAATGCCTTTGGTTCCAGTCTCTGTGCAGATTTGTTGTAGATAAAGGGAGTAGAGGTAGTTGTTGAGAGGCACAAGGACCCTGTGGAGCTGATGTTTGGGGGTGGCTGGCGTTCATGGCCTCGGGGAGATGGAGGTCCTTTCCGACTTTGCTTGGATCATCTTGGCCTTTTGTAAATTCAGTGTTTCAAGAGTTGATTTTAAGGGATGCAGTGTGAAAGTTCTGAATATTGAGAAATGCCTTTTACATACAACATTTTGTATTTGCTTTGTATGTATTGAATATTTCTATTGAATAATATCTATTGACTGTCCTATACCTGGAAGTGACATATTTTCTAACTAATAAAAAAGTTCTTTTCTGAGTTTGAGGCCAGCCTGATCTACAGAGTGAGTTCCCAAAGAGCCAGAGCTACACAGAGAAATGCTGTCTCAAAAAAACAAAAAAATACAAAATAAAAGAAACAAAAGATTCTATGTACAGATGAGTGTCTGAGGCTCAGTTGGTGATACAGTATTTGAACATTTTATATAATTTTAGAGTGTAAATTTTAGAAAAAATTGGCATATATGATCATTTAATTTGAACATTTCCAGTAGTATCTAGATGTTTATGTTTTGGTGTATAGCACTTAATCTTTTTTCCATATTGCTTAAGAAGTATTGTTTCTACAGGAGCCACCTGGTAAGTGACCAGAGGTACTCTGTCCTCGTTACACAGGCTGGCTTCTCATCTCTCTCCTTGTAGGTTTTGGCTGAAGGTCTGATCCTTGGATAAGCCTAGACAGTCCTGTGAATCAGAACCTTCTGACCTTGACTTTGTAATTGGAGAGCTCAGGTCACAGCAGCCATGCTGTTTACACAGGACCCCTTCCTAGTACTTTGCCAATGATTTCCAGTTATTTTTACTCAGTGCGTGTCTGGGAGATAAAGGTTGCAAGTCTGATGTTCTGTTCTGAGGGTAGCTGATCTTCCTCACTTAAGATTTTTCTTGTGGTTTCTTTTTCCAGCGTCTGGATGGTTCTATCAAGGGAGAGATCCGAAAACAGGCATTGGATCACTTCAATGCAGACGGTTCTGAGGTACATTATGCATGGCTTATTATTTGGACAACTTGGACTTTTGTATCGGCAGGAAGTCTTTCCAGCTCAATGTATTCTGTTTCTGAAACATTTTGTGCAAACTGCTTCTGTCTTGAGGGGAACAGGAAAGCCCTACTATAAGCGATGCTTTTTTGTTGTCCTCACTGCTCAAGCATGCTTTCCTAGCTCCCTTGAACTAGTGATCTTTTCTACTGGCTTACGAAATTTATGGGTTTGAAAGACTGCAAGGCAAGAGCACGGTTGGGCCAGGCCAGTGGTGTTAACTTTAGTGTGCAAGGTTGTCCAAGGTTCTTCTCTGTCCTGTTCTGGTGCTGATGCTTGAACAGTGTATCTGCCAATGTTAGACTCCTGGTGGGATGGAGCCCATGCTCTTCATAGCTACAGCGCTACATTACTAAATGTCCCACTTGGGATTGGTTTTGTAAAGTGTTTTGGCTTGGGCGCATCTATATTAGAGCTACTTTAACCAAGTTAGAAACCCTGAGTACATTATAGTCTGCATATCAATTGGCCAGATGACAGATTTAGGAGAAGTGTGGGTAACATGTAAGAAAGAGATCAGTGGAGACAGCCTAGCTGCCGGGACAGAATTCTAATGTCTAGAAGCATAGTTTGTTTTTTTGTTTGTTTTTTTTTTTTGTTTTGTTTTTTTGTAGATAGAACAGATTTATGTTCTGCTGTCTGAAGGGTTTTAAAAACTCAGTGTCTCCTTAATTATTTCAGAATGATAGACCTTCTGTCTCTGAGTTTAGGTGGTCCTCGTAAGACAGTGCTCTGGATGCTTTCTTCTGAAGGGTGATACTGTATTGAGAAACACGGCTGTGGAATTAGACCATGAAAACATTAGTCTCATCCCTCTTTCTCCTCCAATTTCTCTAGTGTAAAATCACAGTGGCTCTGAGCCCCACTTTCTAATATTGCCCATGAGGGTGAAACGTGGCAGTTTACAGTACTCATCACAACCCTTGACATGTGATAGGTGCTCAATAGAATACCAGCAGTTTTTATTATGGTTTTTATTCAAGATGACACTGTTCCCTTATCTAGATTTAAAAGATAATATGAGTTAAATGTTCTATTTCCTTTTTTTTTTAAAGATTTTTTTTTATTTATTACATATACAATATAGTGTTCTGCCTCCATGTATGCCTGCATGCCAGAAGAGGGCACCAGATCTCATTTTTTTAGATGGTTGTGAACCACCATGTGGTTGCTGGGAATTGAACTCAGGACCTCTGGAAGAACAGTCAGTGTCCTTAACCTCTGAGCCATCTCTCCAGCCCTCTATTTCCTTTTCAGAGACAATCTGGTTTACTTTTTGTATGGCTTTATTTTTTTGGTTCTCATTCTCTCCGATAACCATATGTAAACTGTGGTTTCTCTGACATTCTATAGCCTTTTAAAATTAATTTCAAACTTATCTGGGGGAAGACAGTACATGCCCATTGATCAGATGTTATAGATGGTGAAGAATCCCTAAATGAAGTCTTCAACTAGTGACAGGCTTCACACATTGCTGTCTGTATGTACAGATTGAACCATTCGTCTCATTGTATTTACCTGATTATAATCTTGCTGTACATGATTTCAGCTTCTCTTAGTCAAAATTATTCTTGTAAGTTTTTCCCTGTGTCATTAAAAACCTTAGGAACCCCCCCCTTCCCAACCACTATGAGGTTGAACCCAGGTCCTTGTGCATGCCACCAAGCTACATCCCTAGCTCAACATTGAATTTGATTCTTAGTATTTTTTTATTTCTCCACTATTACTTATATGGTGACTCTTTAGCATGTATATATGTATTGTACTACGTATGTGCCTGGTATCCAAGAAGACCAGAAGAAGGCATTGGATTCCTTGGAACAGGAGTTAACAAATGTTTGTGACATGTGGGTACCAGGAACTGAACTTGGGTCTTTTATAAGAACAGCAAGTACTCTGAACCACTGAGCCATCTCTCCAGCTCCTGCTATTTCTTTAGCCATTTTATTATTGTTTGAAATAGTTACAAAATAATGAGAACTTGAAAAGTATTTTGATGCATTTTGTTCACTTTTATAAAATAATTTATAGTTATATGGTCACGTACAAATACTCCCATTTTATGTTACTTTTAGCAGCATCAAGCTTCACAATCTTTTTAACCGTTATTTTGATAATAACATGCAACTTATATTATCTTTGTGACACTGAAAGTTGTTTATGAGACCATGTGATGTTCAGGTCTTCTTTACAGCTTAGCATCTTATCCTGTAGTGTTGTCTGTTGCTCTCTAGGCCTCTCCTAAGGGAGGCATTCACACTATTTGTAGTCTCAGCTGGTTACCAGTTTTCATTGTGATTAACTATATTGGAAGGTACCTCTCTCCCACTTGTGTATTCATGGCTTCATGTGGTTGATTATGACTGTTAGACTGTGAAGCACTTTCTCTCTGTCTGTTGTGTCTGTCTATCTGTCTTATCTGTCATCTGTGAAATATATCCATTTATTGAAGTTTATTCCCCAAGTCAGCAGTTTCTTTATTTATTTTGTTTGGCTTTGTTTTTAGAGACAGTGTCCCATGTAGCCCAGGGTGATCTCAGACTCAATATATAACTGTGGATGGCCCTGAAATCCTCATCCTCCTTCCCCTTCTTCCTGAGTGCTGAATTATAAGTGTATGCCACCATACTTGAACCCAGACCAGTTTTTTAGCAATAGTTTTGTACATAGAAGGCATCAACTTTTGCAGGCTAGTGAAATGGCTCAGGATTGTCTTTTTCATACACACACACACACACACATACACACTTAAAAAGTGTACAAAAGAAAAAATAGAGAATAGAAGCGCCAGCTTTTGATACAGATGGTCAAATGCTCTGAAAATAATAATATTAATTGCATAGCTGTGCAGTTTCCTGGTTTTGTGAGCACTCACCTGGAGAGATAAGGCAGGTATACCATACCTGTGTAGTCTCTTATTGCTATGGAAACTAGAAGATGTTAGGGCCCAGTCTTTGTCACACACCGTAGTGATTGCAGTTCCCATGCTTCTCAGCAGGCTTGTTTTATGAATGTAACTGTTCTCTCACACCTAAAAGTGGGCAGACACACAGATGTGAAATATGTCTGTGTGTGCTAGCCACCTTACATACATGTTCTGGGTAGCTTGCTAAACAGTCTCATGAGGACTGGGTGTGTGGTGTGTGTGGTTAACTTGTATACTCTAGTTTTTGCTGGGACATGAATCTCATGTCCCTGCTGCATTAGTGGATTCTACTGCACTCCTTTGTTCCCTGCACTGATTCTTCCTCTTCATCAAATGAGAAGTCCTTGAGCTCCTTTAGCCTCCATAAAGTTAGTCCACCATATCTCACTTTTCTTCACACCTGCAGGGGTTTCCAGGTGTGAGGGCTTATTGGACTGTGAGAGTGTCTCTGAGAAGGCCACTGCATAAAGTAGTGTATTGCATTGTGTACAGGACTTCTGCTTCCTGCTCTCCACACGGGCTGGTGGCCTGGGAATCAATCTGGCTTCAGCGGACACAGTTGTCATCTTCGACTCTGACTGGAACCCCCAGAACGACTTGCAGGCACAAGCCCGAGCGCATAGGATTGGCCAGAAGAAGCAGGTCAGTAGGGATGGTCTCTGGCAGTCACTTGGGCCTGCAGGCAGAGGTTTATTCTTCCCTGTCAGACTGTAAGATGTTTATTTCCCCACTGCGTTGCCTTCTCTTTATTAACTTGTTCAGAAAAGAGATGTCTTTGGGCTTCCTAGTATAGACTCTTAACCCAGCTCTATTTGTTAAGTCCGTCATGAGGGTTGGGAATTAAGCTCAGTGGTAGCAAGCACAAGGCCCTGGATTTGCTCTTCAGTTGTGGCAGGGGAGGGGGGCTATGACAATGACAGGAAACAGTGTAACTAAAGTCTGTCACGAGTGACTTCTACACGTTTACCAGGAAAGCTGTATGAGGAACAGACTTAGAGCAGAGCCTCTCCCGTGTTGAGAGCATGGCTACCTAGTCAAGTCTGTTCTCCATGACAGTGTCATCTGCAATGGCTGGAGATCGTCTGTGGATCTGCAAGATTGCTTTCCTATTGGCTAGCGTATAGGTTCACATTGGCTAGTGATGTAGTGTTCGTGATGACTATTGTTGGGAAGATGTTGGTCCAGAAGCAGGCTGTGATATCTGCAGAATCTCGTTCCTTTAGGAGTGTAGCCTGTTACACCCCCCTTTCTCCCTACTTGTTCTAGCCGGTGTAGTCAGAATGTGGTACAAGAGATCAAAGTGACTTTCTTCCCCCTCTTGAAGAAATTTTTGCTTTAGCTGGAAATAAACAAAGCTATCCTTTTCTTACAGGTGAATATTTACCGCTTGGTTACAAAGGGGACTGTGGAAGAGGAGATCATAGAGCGGGCCAAAAAGAAGATGGTGTTGGACCATCTGGTGATCCAGCGCATGGACACCACTGGCAGGACAGTTCTCGAAAACAACTCAGGAAGATCCAAGTAAGTGCAGCAAGGCTGAGAGACAGCCCACCTTGTTCCCACCAGCACTTGGCAGGTTTCACAGGGTTCTCCACAGGAAGTGTTCGTCCACTCATTGGTGCTGTGAGGGTGGTGTTGCCCTCCCCTTCCCCCATGGATGTGTGTGTCTGCATGTGGAGGTTGGAAGCAAGAATTGGTCTTCTGCTTCTACCATGTCATTCCTGGGGATCAAACTCAGGTCGTCAGGCTTGGGACAGAGGCCCTTACCCAGTAAGCCAGAAGAAGGCATTGTAGTTTGTAACCTGAGTTACAGGTGGCTGTGAGTCACTGAGTATGCTGGGAACCAACCCAAGTCTTATGGAAAAGCAGCAAAAAGGCTCATGCCCACTGAGCCATATTTCTAGCCCTCTTAAAATTTTTTTTATTTTTGAGGGAATGGAGGGGGACACTTGTGTCTCTGTCCGAGTGTGGAGGTAGAGGATAACTTGTTTTTTCACCCACCATGTGGGTTTTGGGAATTGAACGCAGGTAGTCTCAGGCTTGGCTTTACACACTGTGCTGTCCTACCAGCCCTCACTTGGGGTCACAACTATATTTTACTTTACAGCTCTAACCCTTTTAATAAAGAAGAGCTGACTGCAATCTTGAAATTTGGAGCAGAGGATCTCTTCAAAGAAATTGAAGGAGAGGAATCAGAGCCTCAGGTAATCAACTCAGAGCCTGGAAATGAACTGTTATAGCTGCTATGGGAATCAGTATGAAGGTTCTTGAAATTAAAAATGGAACTACCACATGCTCCAGCTGTAGCACCCCTGGGGCTGTACCCAAAGAGACCATAGTAGGTACCACAGATGTTTCATAGCCAAGCTTTCTGAGCACTGCTTACAGTTCTAAGCTACAGAGTCCATCTGGGTGTCCACTGACAGGTGCGTAGGTAACAGAGCTCTACCGTGGGTGTACATATGTGAAATTATGTTGTGTGTGGGAAAATCTGGGATCTGGAAGTGATCGTTTCAAGAGAAATGAGCCAGATTTGCAAAGACAAAGCATCACATGTTTTAATGAGTATTATTCAAGTATGTGATATACTTCAAAGAAGTGTAGTCGTGTAACCCATCACTTTATAGTAAAGATGCACTAGTAGAATTTTTTTGTTTTTTTTTTTTAAAGAATATTTTGTGAGCATCTAAAATTTTCAGGAAGTAGATTCCTCGTTACAAATGTTTATATAAGGAAAGTAATTATTTGCAGGGTTAGGGATTCTGTTTTACTTATTTTTCTGTGCTAATTCAAAGCTCTTAAAGAGGAAGGGATCCAACACTGAAGGAGTCTGTATTTCTCCATAGTGGTTTTTCCTAGAACTCCTTGAATTTTGCCTCATTGTGTGAATAAGTATCAGTGTGACGGGCTGGGTGTGGAAGATGGAGACCGAGGCTGTCAGAGTAAATAGTGTTGCTGGAAGGCTGTCAGCGCGCACTGACGCTTTAGCAAATGCTGGGACCACTGCTTTCTCACCGCACTTGTGTCATTTTGTTCCAGGAAATGGATATAGATGAAATTCTGCGCTTAGCTGAAACCAGAGAAAATGAAGTGTCAACTAGTGCGACGGATGAGCTTCTGTCACAGTTTAAGGTAGGGAGGCCTTTATTTACTACCAGGACCTCCTTTGTGTCTAGAGCACTTCCTCTGGTACTAGACTTGCTCTTCTTCCCTTGACCCGAATCAACTCATGCTCAGTGTCATTATGAGTGAGGCTGTTCGGAATGTAGTCTACAGTATCCCCATGAAGGTAACCACAGAAGCAAGCCTTCCTTCCTAGAGTCAGGTGCAGAGGAAAAGACACTAATGAATCAGAGTGCGTTGCTAGCGGGATAAGCAAAAGACTGGAAGTATAGCAGGACATGGGAGACATTCATAACATCAGATGTCAGAGATGTCAAAGGCCTAACTCTGTAACACATGAATTTTGAGGGGGCACAAACGTTGAGCCTGATTCTACCTCTGTGACTCTCCTCATGTGTGATCTTATGATGTTTTGATTAGAATTGTACATGATTATTTAGATACAAAAAAATTATACATACATAAGTTATTCAAACACAGTCAGCACATTGCCGATTACCATTTTCTGCCTAAGGTTAAAATGCACTTTTGAGTGATGTAATCTTTACATGTGTTCTGCTGCTTCTGCTTGTGAGGAAAGTGAGTAAGTTACGGGTTGACTCGGTGAGTGCAGGCTCAGGGCTGCTGCTCGTCACAGTTGAGAGATGCGAGATCATCATGGATGATCAGCTGCCGGATAGTTTACAACAGTTACCAACCTTCAGTAAAATTTACAGTTTTTATATTTCTGTATCTAGTTCCCTAATTTTTAATAAAATTTTTGATGAACTTATAAATAAAAGGGGAGAATAGTAAAAACAAATTGATTTTGATTATGTAATATCTATTACAGTATTCTAAATTAAAAAGCCATCTGCTTGGCAGCTGGTGTTTGAAAGTGGAGAAATGTCAGATGGGATTGTCCCTGTTCACGTTCAGGTTGCCAACTTTGCAACAATGGAGGATGAAGAGGAGCTAGAAGAGCGTCCTCACAAGGACTGGGATGAGATCATTCCAGAAGAGCAGAGGAAAAAAGTGGAGGAGGAGGAACGGCAGAAGGAGCTAGAAGAAATTTATATGCTGCCACGGATTCGTAGTTCCACCAAAAAGGTGAAATGAAAGTTTGCCTTGTGCTATATGTCACGGCAGGTGCAGATTAGTCAGGGGTAAGGCCTTGATACAGGCCTGCAGGGGGGCAAGCAGGGAGGTGGGGGCCCAAAGGCTCGTCCTTGTGACTTCTTTCTTAGTCTTCCATGATTGGCTTTCCAAGAAATGCCTGGATGGTTCTGAGTCTACAGAAGTTTGTGTTTTGCCTTTGAGGTTGAAACTGCTGACAATCGTGACAGTTGGTTCTCACAGTTACTATTTCAACCTTCAGAGTGCCAGATTTTTTTTTTTTTGTCCTTAAACGTTGACATTACTGGGTCTAATGGAGGCCGTCCACAGGCTGTACAGCTTACTCAGTCTTTCATAAGCATTTTGATACATTCCCCCCACCCAGTTTCACTGAAGTAAGAAAACAAATTTATTAACCATTTTGTTGGAGCCATTAAGCTTATCTAGTATCATTGTAAATCGGCATTATCACCTGTTAAATGGTTACTGCGTGCCAGGTATAGTTCTGAGTACATTTTCATTTCCTGATGCATTTAATACTTGTGAAAACCCTTTCTTAGAGAGACTATCATATTATTATCCTCATTTTACAAAGGAGAAAGAGATAAGAAAAGTAGTTGTCATAAAGGTATCATATAGATTATAGTATAAAAATTAACCAAGTATTTTTAATTCAGTATACTTAATCATTGCAAGATCCCTGAAACAATGACAGTTTCTCCCCCCTTATTCTCTGACACTTGACATTTGTTTAAGAAAAACTAACTTGTCATATATGATGGGAAGTCTGAGTGCTAACAGTTAAGCTGGGCTGCTCTTAATACTTCTATTCCAGGACTTGACACTTGACACTCTATCTCTGTCTCAGCACATTTCAGAATTTAAGTACTACCTATACATTGACAATACCTAAATATACCTCTAAGTTACCACTTGTGACTTTGCCTTCTCCTTTCCAGGCTCAGACAAATGACAGTGATTCTGACACAGAGTCTAAGAGGCAGGCCCAGAGATCCTCTGCTTCTGAGAGTGAGACGGACGACTCTGATGACGATAAGAAGCCAAAGCGCAGAGGGCGCCCCCGCAGTGTGCGCAAAGACCTGGTGGAGGGCTTTACGGATGCAGAGATCCGGAGGTCAGTGGACTCACATGCAGAAGTGTGTGTTCTCACCTTGGTCGGTGGGCTCCTGGCACCCGGGACAGCGTAGACAGAAAGAGGTCACGAGAGAAGGGCGGCAGAGCCAAAGTATCTGAGGTCTTCCTGAAGAGTGCTTTCTTACTTTTCTTCAGGTTTTTGTTTTTAGTTTTGGGTGAGGTAGATCTCGCATAGCCTAGATGACCTTGAGCCCCTTCTTTGAGGTCCTCAACCCCGGCCTTTACCTCTGAGTGCTGAGCTCACAGGCGCTTTTCCATCTCTATCTCCTTACTTTTTCTGGTTCTTAAGACTATTTTCAAGAGGAATTTTACGAAAGGGAGACTTAGGTGTACAGCACATATCTGTGTTTATGATAATGGACGTGTGGGAGTAGCTCTGCTGGTCACACTGCCCTTGGCTGCACCCGTCCTCCTGAGCATTAGTGGTCTGGATGCCTGATCTAGTCGCTCACATAATACTTTGTTTGGCAGCTTGCCTTTTGTCACTTAAATCAGTTTTAGACATTGAGCTCACTTTTTGGCCATTTGGGATGGAAATGATAGTGGTATTGCTCATCATGCTATTTTGGTCTGCATCTTTTAAATCTAGCTTGCCTCTTGTAGGCATCCTTCAGTTAAATTAGTTTTTCAAAGTCTCCTCTGACAGCTTTTTGCTTTGTCTTCATGCATTATATGCAGTGCAGTGTTTGTTTTTCTGCCTCCAATGCTGCCTTTCCTTCTTTGTTTCTCTACCAGTGCCTGCTGTGGCCATTAGGCAGGCTCCAGTGTGCCATTCTAACTGCCTTCTTTCCATTTCCAGGGCTATTTTTAAAAACATTTTTAGGATTTTTTTTGGTGGTTTCCATGGAAATTTCAAGTAACATCTGGATGCATAAGCATTTAATGTTAGTGGTTTATGAAAATCTTGACTGCAGTTGCCTCCTTTTTTTCTCCTTACATGCTGTGGTTACTCACGTTTTTCATATACTGGAAGCCCACAGTTTACAAATCAGCTTTGTGCCATTGTTTATGAAGTTTGGTAGAAAAGTTCAACCAAAAAAACTTGAAAACTGTTTCTATAGCTTCTCATTCAGTGATCTGAGAGTCACATTTCTTCGTGTGGATTTGAGCTGCTGCATAAGGCCCTCGCTTCCTCCCCGAAGGGCTCTCATTAGTGTTCTCTTTAGGGTGTGTCTGCTAAGGATGATGTCTGGATTATTCAGTTTCTGGCAGCATCTTAACTTCTTATTTGTTCATCAAGTTTTTATTCTTTTTGTTGTTGTTCTATTTTCAAGTTTATTGATTTTTTTTCCTCCCATGATCCTCTTCTGATCCTTTCAATTTCAGTTTTTGTATTTTCAATTCTAAAGATTCCTTTTGTCTCCTTTTTAAAATTTTTCTATTTGTTCCCTTTCCTTTGCTCTCTTAGAATCAAACCCGAGGCTGCATGCATGCTGGGCAAGTGCTGTCCTCCTGAACTGCCTCCCCAGTTCTCTGATGTATCTGCTGTCCTTCCCTTACTAGGTGACTCTTATTTCTTTAGTTATAACTGCTCTGGCCCGGGTGTGTGTTTACTGCAGCAGATTGCTGTCTTCTGAGTTCAGGTGCAGACTTCCTGCTCTCCTTTGTCTTCTTTCTTTGAACTTGCTCTTTTCTGTGCCATAATTTTGTTTTTGTTTGAGAAACAGATGTTTGTTTGTTTTTTGAGACAGGGTTTCTCTCTGTAGTGCTGGCTGTCCTGGAACTCACTTTGTAGACCAGGCTGCTTTTGAACTCACAGAGATTTATCTGCCTCTGTCTCCTGAGTGCTGGGATTAAAGACGTGCAACCACTGCCTGGTGAAAGCCAAATGTTTTAAATAATCTGATATGGTAACTCTTTGCCGCATAGTCTTCCTCACCAGTTGGGTGCTGGCTTCTCACTGACTTCCCTCAACTGTTTTATAAAGTCTGTCTTTTTTGTCATGTCCTTTGATTCTCTGCTCCTTTAGCTCAACGATTAGCAAATGACAGGCATAAATCTCACTTGTTGAAAGCTAGCAAGTCTGCTAACCACTTTGAGGAACTTCGTTATTTATCTTGTTTAGTGCTCTATGAGTCTGTCCACAACTGTACCCTGACTTTGAGGATCTATGTGTGTAGAAGTTAGGACCTTCCAAGATCTTTCCTTTGCATGTGTGCAAACCCCTTCATGTGTTGTCTTTTTGATTCCTAGGAGTATGTCAAAGCCTTTCAGGTTATTCTGTGGGCATCTATCTAATTTTCATTTTTTTTTAAATTTTTTTGACCAGTGTCATATTATCTCCAGGTGATGTGCCTTATGCCACTTGTGCGATAAACCTTTGCATACCATTAATGCCAATGACCTGTGGACATGATTGTTTTAATTCACATTAAAAAAGACAAACCAAGAGATGGCCCAAGACTTAATAGCACTGGCTACTCTTGCAGACGACCCACATTCGATTCCCAGCACACACCTAACATCTTACAACCTCCTGTAATTTCAGCTCCAGGGCTTCTGACTCCCTCTTCTTGCCTCCCTGAACACCAAGCATACACATGGCATACAGACATTTATGCAGCCAAAATACCCATACATATGATACTGATAAAAGAAAAAGAAACAATTGAAGAAAAGAATAAGAAAAGTAAAACCTGAGAACCCCGCTTTTGCATGGTCAAGTCAGTATGCCTTCTCTCTGGAGCTGGTCCGGAGGTGTCTCAGACCCCCCTCCCCCCACTGGTGGCTGCTGTGCACAGGTTTCTAAAGAAGGATTTGAAAATAAAGCAAACTGCAGTGACAGAAGCTCTTTGCGTTTACTGAGAGTCAGCCATTTTCTTGTACAAATGCTTCAGATGGCTGCAGACTTATGCTTAATTTTTGGTTTTCCTTAGCGTTGATCTGGGCAGTTTTTCTTGCTGGTTTTGTTACTTTTGTGGAGGAACAACAAATAACTCTATTTTTGGATAACCTTATTGTATCATTGAAGATTATTTTCACTGTTTTTAGTGCTGAAGTTGAACCCAGGGCCTGGTACATGCTAGAGAAGAGCTATAATTCCCAGTCTTCTTCCTACTTTTACATCTCAAAACCTACTATTTCAGACAGAAAATACTTCATTTTATATTAAGGAGAAATGCCGGGTCGCGGGCTAGCCCTCAGGTCCACTTTCCTGTTTAACACTTCACTAAGTTGTGTTCAGATTCTGTCTTAGCTCTTGTCATATACAGGGCTGCTGCCACATCTTAGTTCCTCTTTTCCTGGTCTTCTTCCTTACGCTGTTACATAGCCGGTTTTCATAGTCGCTGGGCATGTTCCAGTGATGCACACCATATGTTTGTGCCGTCTTGCTTTTTACTGAAAGTGTTGGTAGCTGGCGTGAAATGGTGAGGGGAGATGGGGAATGGTCAGCATGGTTAAAGGTAGAGACGGTGGAAAGACAGAGGTTTGGGTGGAGACAAGGGTGGGCACCAGTAAACAGTTTCCTAATTAGCTTTAAATTATATGTTTATGCATATGTATGTATTATATATGGCTCTGCTTAATTTAAAAAATCATTTGATGGCCATAGAATTCTTAACAGCTATATCATTAACCATAAAATACTAAAATATATTGTGATTGAGAACTCAGCATAGCGCTAAGGGACTGAATTGTCACTGAGCAATGATGTCAGAGTTTCATTGTGGTGGAGCACCCACCCGTCTAAAACAACATGCCAGTGCAGTCGCAGTTCCAGGGCCTGGTTTGTCACTGCGCATAAACTTGGTGTCTGCCCTGAATAGTGCTTGAGCACTGTGAAGTTGGCCTCTTCAGAAACATGGCAGTGTTCACTTGTTAGATGCAGGGATTGTGTCAGCCTCTTGAAAGTTTGTGTGACTCCTACTTCATGACAGGATGTTGTGGTATTTTTAGTTAATACTTGTGGTTTTTTAAATTCATTTTGTTGATCATATTCTTAGGTTCATCAAGGCTTATAAGAAGTTTGGTCTCCCTCTTGAAAGGTAAGACCAATAATAGATCTGTCTTCTTTTTTCCTATATAGCAGGCCTTTTTTTTTTTTTTTTTTTTTCTGTGAGGGGAGGTAATCTTTTCCATTTAATTTTGGGAGCAGTTTTTCCACCTGTTAAAGCATTAATATACCGGGTGCATGTCCTGTTTCGGAAAGGCGGCACAGGTGGAGGCTGCAGACTGACCATTGGGGAGTTTTGTCTGAGCGAGGGAGATGAGGGGCATGCATGCAGACTGCATGGTAATGCGTAGTCTAGGTGGGATACCTATGGGGGGGGTCCATGTGACAGTGCAGGTACTTAGTTCTCTGATACAGGACTGTAGGGGAAAACCCTGTTCTCTGATTTCATGATCCAGTAACATGATGGCATGAGGATAATATAAGGAGCTTGTGTTATCTTGACAGTACTACAGAAGGTGTGAGTTATCGGTGTTCAGAGTACACATTTAGAGGTTGGGTTTTTAACAGAAGCATCTGGATATTTCAAATAGTTTAGTATCTTGCTTTATATGCAGCTATCCTGTATCCTTCAGATAAGAGCACTGACTTAAAGGACAGGTCAGAATCCTGCCACTTAGAAACTTCTGGATCTGGTGGACATCCCAAGCGTGTGCTTTGTTTTTGTCTTTCATATGGGAGAGGAAGCAGTGATGCAGAGTAGTCCTTTACAGTCGGGTACAGCATCTCTCTGGGACTCTTTGAGCATCCAGATGTAAAATTCTCGTCTTTGAGGAAGTCAGTATAAAACCCACTGGAATGGAAAGTGGGTCTGTGAGCCTCTAGACAGCCTGGTTTTAGTCAGCCGATTTATGTGCTCTGTGATACAGAGGTGAAGTGAATTATGGAGAAGTAATTGCCCTGTGCTTCTAGGAGGATCGCAGTGGCTAGAGCAGGACAGGAGGAACTGAACACAGAAAGGCAAACTAATTTGTGTATTTTTTTAGGCACCTCACATGCAGAGAGCAGTAGGCAGCTCGTTTGTAGAGGAAAACAAAATCAGAGCCTCTTCTGTTTGATAAAAGGGTCACTTTATTTTTGTTGCATATCCCAAGGCAATTCTTTTGTTGTTGTTTTCTGGGACAGGATTCTGTGTGTGTAGCCCTGGCTGTCCTGGAACTCCCTCTGTAGACCAGATTGACTTCAAACTCAGAGATCTGCCAGCCTCTGCCTCCCCAGTGCTGTGACTAAAGATGTGCGCTACCACTGCCAGGCTTTCCAGGCTTTTTTTTTTTTTTCTCAAGATTTTATTTATTTATTATGTATACAGTATTCTCCCTGCATGTCAGAAGAGGGCATCAGAGACCCCATTATAGATGGTTGTGAGCCACCATGAATTGCTGGGAATTGAACTCAGGACCTCTGGAGGAGCAGCCAGTGCTCTTGATCTCTGAGTCATCTCTCTAGCCCCAAGGTGGTTTTTGATGATGGATGTCTTAGCTATTGTACGATGTTCTTGTTGGCTTTGGACTGACTCATAGGGCAAGCAGTTTTCAAGAGCAAGCACTTAAGAGACCTAGAACATTCATGTGAAAGAAAAGTGGCACAGTGTCTTGATCTTTGTCCTTTTCCAGGCTAGAGTGCATAGCACGTGATGCTGAGCTAGTGGATAAGTCTGTGGCAGACCTGAAACGCCTGGGAGAGCTGATTCATAACAGTTGTGTGTCAGCAATGCAGGAATATGAAGAGCAGCTGAAAGAAAATGCTAGTGAAGGTAAGTCTAATTGAGGGATTCTTCCATATCTGGTATTCATGGACTGGTTTTTCTGTTACGAGGTTCTTAAAACCTGTCCTTATAGCCCACACGTACCTGGTGCTTGCAGTTATGTACTTTGAGTTGCCCTTCTGTGAGCTCAGTGTTGTAGATCCCACATGTCCACTCTCAGATGAAGTGATTTTGTGAACGTATGATGTGATAAACAGGAGAGCAGAGCCTGCATATGTTAGCTCTGAAGGGTTGTTATAGACTGGAAACACTGTCAGATGTAGGCTGTTAAATTATGGCAGTTGTAAGACATTTAGAGAATTGAACAAATATTATAAACATTTTGGTTATATTGAGATTTTCATGGCACTAGAATTTGTTGTAATTGGATTGGCCATTTAATTTCTTTCCTTTTAGAAACTAGAAATGGGGCTGGGAGGTTGTGGCACACACTTTTAATCCCAGCACTCTGGAGGCAAAGGCAGGTGGATATCTGTGAGTAACAACAGCACAACAACAATAAAACCAGGCAAGTGGTTTTGCCTGATGCATTCATTCTCTTTCTGTTTCTGTAATAAAACATCATGATCTAAATCAGTTTACAAATGAATAAGTTCTAGAGGGGCATGCATTTTCTAGTAGGTAAGCATGGCAGCAGAAGGCAGGCATGGTGGCTGGAACAGGAAGTTGAGAGCTCATGTCCGCAAATGAAAGCCTAAAGCAGAGAAAGCAAACTGGAAAGCAAAACCTCAACGTCGGCCCCCACTGATGTATTTCTACCAACAAGGCTACACCAGCTCTTCCCAAGACCATGTCAGCAGCTGGGGACCAGGAGTTCAGATGCCTTAGACTGTGGGAGCATGTCTCATTGAAACCTCCACATTATACTTGGCTCCTGTAGACTTGTTGCCGTATTATACCGTATTATAATGCAAAAGTCCCCATAGTCTGTCACAGTCTCAATAATTTTTAAAGACACAAAGTTGAACACCTGTTTAAGACTCAGGGCAATTTGTTAACTGTAATCACCTATAAAATAAAAAAAGCAAGTTACATACTTCTAATATACAGAGGAATAGTGCCATATCCTTGTATGACCTCAGGGATTGATCTGACTGTGGCCTCAAGGTTATGAAGAAAAGACACACAGAGACAGAAATGCTGGGAGCAGGTGGACTAGGCTCTCTGATGGGGGAGCCACAGCACCGGAAGCTCAGAGAGAGCATGCTGCTTATATATTGTTGAACTGGGAGGCAGGGTTATTTCATACAGCTGAAAGAAGGCATGGTTCATAATATACAGCGGAATTAAGGAAACAAAGTTTAGCTAATCTCAGTAGGGGAGTAGTCTTCAGGCCACACATACCCTTCTGTACACACTATCAGTATTCACACTCGGACCCAAAGGAAGGTTTTGCCATAGTTCTGAGCCTCGTCTGTGGAAGGTTCACCATTGCCATGGGGATGAGGCATTGGAGTCCTCGACATAGCCATGCCCATGGCAGCAGTACATGTTTACTCAAGACTTCATCTGCTCCCCACAGAATAGAATATCCATTACCATCCAAAAGGGAGGAATGAGGACATGGGGAAGACTGGACCAAAGCCAGACCAAACCCACCAGCGCAAGCACCAAATCTTGTAGCCTCTGTGTTCATACCATAGGGTTTGAAGGGCTCTGCTCCTCCAGCTCTCTTTTGGGCTGGTTCCATTCTCTCTATGCGCTTTCCTAGGCATCTCCTGAACATGTCGCAGTCTCGATTACAATCCAGGATTCACTTTCCCAGCTTTACAGTGGCTTCTCACAGCCTTGAAGGGATTCCTCTGGCACGTGCTGCCCGCTTTCAGTGGCTGTCTGAAGTCATGGAGGAGGAATACACAGCCCCTTCACTCTTGCATCCTTCATGCCCCTACAGCCAGTTACCACGTGGAGGACAGTGTTATCTTAGGCTGGGCCCTAGTATGCTTGAAGCACATTAGTAGCAGCCTTGTTTGCAGTTGCTTTCTAGGAGCAGAAAACTCTGAAGCCCCTTTCCTTGACTATTTAGCCTGTTGGGGTAGGGAGTGGGGTCCAGGAAGACCCTTCCTCTAACCCTGAGTGCTGGGATTTCAGGGTGTTCACCTACCTGGCTTGATGAGATGCTGGAGATCAGAGCCAGGGTTTCAAGCACAGCACCAGCTGAGAAAGTAAAAGTAATCATTGAAGATAATAGCTATACTTTAAAAACGTTTTAGATTTATTCATTCACAGCACAAGTTCAAGCAAGTTTGTAATGTACTTTGTCATGTTTACTCCTCCTTACTCTCCTCCATCCCCTGCCACTCGTGTTGAACAAGTTCCCCTTGTACATCCAAGGTTGTTTATGTCTCACTGAGCTTACATAGGATTGCCTGTGAATTTAGGTCAGGGCCTCTTTAGTGGAACATCAGCGTTATCTTCCACTGAATAAAACAATTCCCTCAACAACCATTAACTGCCAGTAGCTCCTGCAGGAGGGTGGGATGGGTCATAGGAGCCCCTCTCGCTCTCTGTGATGGAAGCTGATGGTCCTCCCATGCAGGTGACCACAGCTGCTCCGAGTCCAGCAGACCTTGCTTTACAACATCCTCCCCTGTTCTCCAGCTCTTAACATCCCCCATTCCCCACCCCCAGCCCCTTTACATTCCTTGAGCCTTGGAAAGGGAATAACGATGTCCTGTAAGGCCCAACACTCAACTTTGTCCAGTTATGAGTCTGCGCTTTAAGCAGTGTTAACTGCAAACAGAAATGTTTGCTGAGCTGAGTGGCACTGATGGATGGGTAAAAATGTCAAAGATTAGAAGGCAGCTTGACACTCTTAAGTAAAACAGCGCTAGTAGAGTCTCCATTAGGACCTATGACTGTCCCAGCCATGGGCTGTTGACCAGGCTTATGGTAGTAGCATAAATTCCTTCCTGGAGGAGGTTTCAGATCCAGTCAGAAAGCATTTGTGCAACCCCTGTCCTGGTACTAGTGACTGTTTAAATTTTTAAACACAATTCAAAGGGAGAACACTCTGCCCATGTGCATTGTTCTGTTTCTTCTGTTTTCTCCCCATTCACATTTTGGAGATTTTCTCCCTTATTGTAGCTCCGTGTCCTCTTTTTTCTTATACATGCTCCTGTTCTGGTAGTGGCTTATTTCTTCTTCCTGACACTGATTTATACTTCCCTGAATTTTTGTTTCCTGTAGACTGTATCGAGCATATTTTGAGGCCACGCTGATCTATTTCCTGTGTCGGATTATTGACTCTGTGTTATTATAACTATGTGCCTGTTTTATCCCACATTGTATACATACATTTCCAAATATCAATATTAATCTTTTGTGTGTGTGTGTGTGTGTGTGTGTGTGTGTGTGTTGAGGCAGGGTCTCTCTTTGTAGCCCTGGTGGCCTTGTATTTATGGAGGCCAGTCTGCCTCTATCTCCTGAGTGTTGAGATTAGAGGTGTACACCATCATGCCTGGTCTTCAATATTAACCTTCTTGTTGGCAAGGCTTGCAAATGTAGTTTTATTTCTTTGTGTATCTTTTTGTCTTTAGAATACATGTCATCAACAGTTCATTTGAAGTTGTTCTTCTCTGTGTGTGATTGCATCATCAGCTGAATTCAGACTTTTTTTTGCATATATTTTGATTTTTAAGGATCACGTTTCTCATTTGACTGAACTGACTTCCTGCTCGCCTGCTATCCTTTCCTGCTTTTCTTGATAGTCTTGCTATGTAGCCCCGGCTTGTCTGATATTTCCTGTGGCTCAGGCTGCTGTCGGAATCCTGGTTGTCCTCTTGCTCAGCCTCCCTGGTGCTGCCATTGCAACAGTACCATGCCTGTCTTAGTGCTGTTAGTTTTCAGTGATATAAAATATTTACATAAAAATGATTCAGAGTCAAACCGTAGAACAAAAATCATGTAGAGGAGGATCCTGCCTTCATCGTCTTCCGTCTGTTCCTATTAATTAACTAATTTATTCTATTACTTGTTGAAAAAAAAATCTAAGTATGTGTGTATTTTGTCCATATACTCCGTATACATAAGAACATGTAGTTCATGTTCTGCACAGCGTGCCACGTAGACGTGGTCTTCTTTTACATTTCATCTTCTTTGTCCCTTAGTTCTAAGTACTTGAATTATTCTCAATCTTTTGCCATCATCAATAAAGTTACAAGAAAAATGTGCTTTACTAAATAATCTAAATACTTTATATATTTCTGTCAGAATTTCTTTAAGGTAGATTTCTAGAAGTAGGATTGTAGGGCCTTGAGGTAATGCATGAGCATTTTGTTTTGGTATCGCTAGATTCTCCTGTGTTGGTCTGGTATTACCAGTGGATGGTTGATAGTCTCTGTTTGGCAAATTTTGTGGTGTTAACTGTTTTTGTTGTTTGCTGTGTGTGTGTTTTGGATCCGGTTGTCTCTCTGTCATAGAACTCACTTTGTACACTAGGCTACTCTGGAACTCACTCTGTAGACTAGGCTGTCCTGGAATTCACAGAGATCCACCCACTTCTGCCTGAGTGCTGGGATTAAAGACCTGTGCCACCACACCTGGAAAACATTTGGATTTTTGCTAGCCTGATAGGCAAGAAAAAGAATCTCATTTTTAGTGAGTGAGGTTGTGTCTTTTAAGATAGATATTTATGTGTTGTTATAGGTCAACTGTCGATACTCATTTTTCTCAGTTTTCTGCTGAGAACCATCTTTGTTCTTACACAAAAGTGGCAACTTGATTATTTTGTAATTTTTAACTTAGGCTCTGGTTAGAGTGTTTTTATTTTACTTGTACATGAATTAGGATTTTCATGGCAGTTTAGAGTCACCATCTCATGCTACCCGTGATGGTCAGTCTTTATTATTTCAATGTGTTAGCTGTAACATGAGCTCATACTTTTCCAAAAAGTAGTAACTGAAGATGAATTTGAGTCATTTAAAGCACTTATTTTTGTTTTTTCTAAAATTTTAACATTAATATGCCTTTAGAATCTTCTGTTAACTAAACTTACAGTGAAGAAGTATAAACAAGAAAATTAGATACAAGTATCAATACGTAGTTGAAGACTAAATGTTAAAATATTGCTTAAATTTTCTTTTATAAACATTAGTTGAGGCCAGGTGGTGGTGGTACACATCTTTAATCCCAGCACTCAGGAGACAGATGCAGGCCTCTGTGAGTTCAAGGCCAGCCTTGGTCTACAGAGCTAGGTCCAGGACAGCCCAGGCTGTTACACAGAGAAACCCTGTCTTAAAACAAAAACAACAACAACAAAAAAAGCAAAACAAACAAAACAACAACAACCCCCACCACAAAAACAAACAAAAAATTCAAAACTGTTAGTTGAAAGTTTCTGAGTTCTGTCTTTGACTGCTAATACGCTGGAAGTTTAGCTAGAGGGACTAAGTCAGAGTTTGGTAGTAGGGAGCGTTTTCACTTAAGGAATATAAAACCTATGTCCTTTAGGGAAAGGACCAGGCAAGAGAAGAGGCCCCACAATCAAGATCTCTGGGGTTCAGGTTAACGTAAAGTCCATCATCCAGCACGAGGAAGAGTTCGAAATGCTGCATAAATCTATCCCTGTGGACCCTGAGGAAAAAAAAAAGTGAGTGTCTTTACCGTCCCCGCATGGCTGGCTGGACATAGAATGAGGTTAGAGCTGTGTGGTTGGGGATGTTTCCTCACTATGTTGGAAAGGACCCCTTTTCTCAGCCCCTTGGTTTTGAACCCCTGTAGATACTGCTTAACCTGCCGGGTCAAAGCGGCACATTTCGACGTCGAGTGGGGCGTGGAGGATGATTCTCGTTTGTTGCTTGGGATCTATGAACATGGCTATGGAAATTGGGAGCTAATTAAGACAGACCCAGAGCTAAAACTCACTGATAAAGTAAGTAACTGCCATGCTGGACAGTTCTAGATTTGTTTAATATTTTTATATTGGTGACTTATCTTTAACTGTTTTCAAGAGGGGGGGTTTCTTTGTCTTTGGGAAGTTACCGTCTTTAGTGGATAATGATAAAAGGAAAGATGACAACCAGAGGAAATTATATAGGAGAAATCTTAAAATTTTGATATCTTTACAGGCCAAATCTCATTACAGCAAATACCAGGTCAGTTTATTGGGACTGAAGCATTCCTGGGCCTTCCTTCTTGGCCTATTGTTTAACATTCGTTCAGCTCTGTACACAGAGAACAAGTGTCACCTTGGTATTGTTTGTAATGAAATTTAACTTGCATTGTACTTCTCCCACGAAATTGAGCCTCCCACCCTATCTCTTTCAAGTAGCAAGGTTGTACTTAGAGCTCTAAGCAAGGGCAGCTGACTGGATCCACTTCATGTTGTGGTCCTATCAGGGCTTTGTCCTGGCACATTAAACACTGCTCATCCCGTCTGGGTTTAGGAGGGTGACAGCACCCTGTTTAGAAGCACTGAGACCAAATCCATTCTGGCCAGAGAGGTCCAGCTGTAGTCAATGAGCAGATCATGTCCTGGCATAGCTCAGTGCTCTCCGGCAATGCTCTAAGAAGCATTTTCAATCTAAAACGAAGCTTTAACCTAGCTCCAGGGATTCCCTGCTCCTGGAAGGAGGAAATCCACGACGGCTGGGATGCTCTAGCAGATGAAGCCACAAGCCCCTCCTACCTGAGTTGTTCTACCCTGTTAACAGCACAGGTAGGAGCCAGTGGGAGAGCTGGATTTCTCCATCCCATTTTGTAAAACGAGAATGGCTCATGAGGGATTTTTCAGTGACTGGGAGCCATGGACATGAGAATAGGATCTGAGGCTTTAATCTGTGTTTCGGGTGGTTGGGAGGGAAAGGACTGTGCTGAGTTCTTTGTTGTCCCTGTTTATCCAAATTCACTAACCAGGTTGTGGGTGGTGGCGGGTGCTTCTCTTCCCTTCCTGTTGAAGATTCTACCAGTGGAAACAGATAAAAAGCCTCAGGGGAAGCAGTTGCAGACCCGGGTGGACTACTTGCTGAAGCTGCTCAGGAAGGGTCTGGAGAAGAAGGGCACTGTGACCAGCGGGGAGGAGGTGAGTGGGTACACTGCCAGCTGACTTGCCCCCAGGAGAGCGTGGGACTGCAGAGCCAAGAAGGAAAAGAGCTGTCCTTTTGGGGTACCGCACAGCATCCTTGCCAGCTCATTGTCAGAGATGGCTTTTGAAGTTGCTCAGAAGAAAATGCTCATTTAATAAATGCAGTACCTTGGCGCCTTTCTTGCAGTTCTACTCAAGTGTTTGCAGCAGAATATTCGCCATCTCTGGATCACCTTTACTCTTTTCTAGTCTGTGTTCTCAGTTGGGGACATAGTTTCCATATTTTGGTGTCTGACTGGGCTGCTATGATAATACAGTTAGATTCCACGCTTAATTTCAGAAATTAGACTTAGTTTTGATTATATTTGGCTCACTGAAAAATACCAGGTTGCTAATGGAGTCATTGGAAGTTTCTCTTCTTTATTTCCCTATGGTAAGGAGTCAGGGAAGAATCTAAGATGTTTGTACTTTGTGTGGCCATGTTCCTTGCATGTTCCTTAACTTTGTCATGTTTACATGTATGTATACAATAAATAGAACTTAGGTGAATAAAATGACTGTACTTCCATTTGTCGCACATAGTACCACTATGTAGATAGTATGGTGAGAATATAATTGTGATATGTGAAGTTCTAGAGAGGCAAGGTAGGTCATGCTGTTGGGTTGGGGTGATTTGTACTTTAAGTATCTTTTTACTTTCTAGACCAAACTAAAGAAGCGGAAGCCTCGAGTAAAGAAGGAAAACAAAGCCCCCAGGCAGAAGGATGAGCATGGGCTTGAGCTGTCGTCTCCTCGACACTCAGACAACCCATCTGAAGAGGGAGAAGTGAAGGTATGGGGCTCCATGAAGTCATGTGATGCATTTGTTTACATACCGAACAGATAAAATATCATAGAATACGTTTATCTTCACCTAACCTGTCAGAGGAATATAGTTGTGTCTTAATAACATCTATTGATGTGAAAAGACACCATGACTAAGGCAACTCGTGCAAAAGAAAGCATTTAATTTGGGGCTGGCTTACAGTTTCAGAGGCTTAGTCCATCATCATCATCATCATGGCACGGCCACAGGTATAGGCATGGTGCTAGAAAAGTGACTGAGCTACATCCTGATACAAAGAGAGAGGAGGGAAAAGGAGAGAGACTGAGCCTGCGCCTGGGCCTGGGCCTTGGCCTGGTATGGGCTTTTGGAACTTCAAAGCCACCCCCAGTGGCACACTTTTTCCAGCAAGGCCACACCTCCTAATCCTTCTGTTCCTATCAGAGGTTCCACTCCTGGTGACAACACATTCAAATACAGACACCTGAGTTGGCAGTTCTCATTCAAACAAGCACACACATAGTGACTCATGTTAAATAAGCAACCACAAATTCCTACGTAACGGAAGTAAGTGATACAAACCATGATACGTGGCAGTTAGTAATTGCTTTCATTTTCTAGAAGGAAAGAGATTGGTAGAGACTGGTTAATCGGGACTTAAGACTTTGCAGAGTGCGTTTCAGTTAATTGGAGATTCTCTCGGTTGGGCTTAGCCATTAGCTTGCCAGTTTGTAATGTAGTCTGAAGAAAGTGGAATTACAGTGTTGTTCAGTGAGTGACAATTCTGTGAGGTTTTATTCTCTAGTTCTGAATGTAATTCTTTGATGATGGCTCCAGGAGGGCTCCACTGGGAGTCAGTCACCAGCTGAAGAGGGCTCGTGTAGTGTTGGTCCCCATTTTCTTCTCTTTGTGAAGTGGGGACAATAATGCTGTTGTTTTAGGGGAGGGGTGTTGCTAAGGACCTAACTCGGCCTCATACACACCTGGCAAATGCTTTTCTCTTGAGCTAAACACCATTCATTCAGTGCCTTAAAGACTAGTTTTGAGGGCTGGAGAGATAGCTCAGTGGTTAAGAGCATTAGCTGCTCTTCCAGAGGTCGTGAGTTCAATTCCCAGCAACCACATTGGTGGCTCACAACTATCTATAATGAGATCTGGCGCCTTCTTCTGGCATGTGGGCATACATGGAGGCAGAATGTTGTATACATAATAAATAAATAAATCTTTTTTTTTAAAAAAAAGACTAGCTTTGAGAATTAGGTCAGAAGATGTAACGCTGTCTGCCTATACAAGTCTAGTGGATTCAGGCTTCTGCAAGTGAGTGCGGGTAGGCTCTGGTTGAAGAAAATGATCTGTTTTCAGTGCAGTGATGTGCCACTGAGCAGTGCTGCTTCCTCTAGAAACAAACTAAGAAGCAGAAAATTGAAAAAGTTCATGGCTTTCTGTTTCCTAGGACGATGGCTTAGAAAAAAGTCCAATGAAAAAAAAGCAGAAGAAGAAAGAGAACAAGGAGAACAAAGAGAAACCAGTGAGTTCTCGGAAGGACAGGGAAGGAGACAAAGAAAGAAAGAAGTCCAAGGACAAGAAAGAGAAGGTATCTAACACACTCGTATTGGAAATTCTAGGTTTTAAATAACATGAGGTACAAGCCCTGATATGATATGAGGTACAAGTCTTTGAGTATATCCAACAAGGAAGGTTGGGGCTGTGCAAGTAATACCTTCACCCTCCTCACAGGAAAGCAAGAGGTATTATGCAGACTTGCTTTTCTAATGTAGAAGGCCTTTGTTTGATCTGTCATTGCCTATTTGGGGAGGGGTATTTGGAATGAGACAGGACAAGTGATAATATGAGGTACAGGTTCTTAGATTATAATGCCAGAAGAATACAATCTACACACAATCAAGATGATTTGAAAAGTTCAAGATTCAAAACAAATACCACATGTCATCAACAGCCACTAGAGTAGACTTGGCTTAAAAGCCTTCATGTTGGGAGATTTGTGAAGTTCTTTACAGACTATAGAATTGATATACTTGTTGAAATGTAGAGATATTTGTAATCAGCTATTATCCATTGCTCCAAGCAAGTCACAGCTATAATTCTACCATCTATTAAAGACTTTTATTTTTTTAGTTTTAATTTTTAAATTTGATGTGTATGGATGTTTTGCTTGCTTGTATGTCTGTGTACCACATGTGTGCCTGGTGCCTGAAGAAGTCAAAAGAAGGCATTGGATCCTCTGGAACTGGAGTTACAGGTGGTTGTGAGCTGCCATGAGGGTCTAGGACTGGAACTCACGTCCTCAAGAAGAGCAGCCAGTGTTTGTAATCCAGGGGTCACATCTCCAGCCCTTGACATCTTAACTTCTTGGGACTTCCTTAAATTTCCCCTCAGAATATGAGTATAAATATAAAAATACTGGCTGTGTAGTGGTGGCCAGTTTAATCCCAGCACTCTGGAGGCAGAGACGGAGCGGATCTTTGTGAGGACAGCCAGGGCTACACACAGAGAAACCTGATCTCGAAAAAAACAAGCCACAACAACAAAATATATATATATATATATATATATATATATATATATATATATATATATATAGCCCAGCTCAGACCATTGGGTAACCTCTTCTCTCCACACAGCAGTATATTGCAAACTACCTTACCACTGAAGAACAGGTGTTAAGGTTGTTTTAAATAAGGTAAATTCTATTTGATGCTAATGTAGTGGAAGCCATTTAAGTTTCATACTAAAATTCCTTTGCAGTTTTTAATGTTAGATATTATACTATGGATGCTGGTGCTGGTTCAGTGGTTGAGACCTGGGTTTAGTTACCAGTCCCCATAACCATTTGTCCTCCAGTTCCTGGGGATCTGTTGTCCTATTTTGGCCTTTGTGGACATTGCACACATGTAGTACACATGAATTCAGGAAGGCGCATCCACTTAAATAGAAAATAATTGTAAGTCTTTGGAATAAAGAGAATCTATACTGTGATAAATTCTTTTTTTTTTCTTTTGTTTTGTTTTATTTTATATTATTTTTGTTTTTCGAAACAGGGTTTCTCTGTAGCTTTGGTGGCTGTCCTGGAACTTGATCTGTAGACTGTAGACCAGGCTGGCCTCGCTGTGATAAATTCTTTTGCATCTGTCTCAGAATAGTTATTTATTCTGTTTTTTTTTTTTCTTGGCTTGTTTTGTGTTGATTGTTTTCTTTTTGAGACAGGGTTTGACTACATAACTCGGGCTGTTCTGGAACTCACAGAGATCCTCCTGCCTCTTATTTCTCTGTCAAGATTAAAGGCGTATGCTATCACTTGGCAGATTCACATTGTTCCATGTTTAGTTTAAGTGGCTTTTCTCCCCTAGTGTAATGCATTTTGCATCTTATGAACACATTACAAGCACTGCAGACACTTTTCTCTTCTCATAGCCGCTGCTGTAAAGCTGATGCGACACCACACTTCCCGGACCTCAAACAATTTACTTATGTATTTAGTCAGTTTGTTAGTTTTTCGAGACAGGGTTTTTCTGTGTCATTTTGGCTGTCCTGGAACTCACCCTGTAGACCTCACTGGTCTTGAACTCACTAATTTTTATTTTAAGAATATTTATGTTTATGCATGCATGTATGTATGTCAACCGCAAGCAGGCAGGAATTACAGAGGTCTCAGATCCCTGGAACTGGAATTACAGACATTTGTGAGCCTCCATGTAGGTGCTGGGAACCAAACCAGAATCCTGTAAGAGCAAGCATTCTAACTGCTGAGCTATTTCTCCAGGGATCCCATGTGCTTTAAAAACAAAAACAAAAACCTTGTATTTTATCTATATCATATAATTAGATACAGTATATTCTAAATATTTTATGTTTTAAAAAATTTCCTAATTTTGGTTTCCATGCCTATTCTTGACTTGCAGCCTTGCATGGTTATGCAGTTGATACAGATTCCTAATCAAAGATTAGCTGTTAGTAAAAGCTGCAGCATGATACTCTGGGGGAGTTCTCTGTCGATTCCTCGTCCCTTCATGACATTCTTGTAAACTATATTAATAAACTTGAAGCTGTAATTTAGTATCTTTAGAGACAGAAATGGGGAGAATTATAAGTCAGCTATTAATCTTGTAGGTTTGTGTAAGTTGAGGTCTTCTTATTTACTTGCTCTAGCAATGCACCATAGGTAAGAAGTTCGAATTATAGGGCTGGAGAAATCCTTAGTGGTTAAGAACTTTTTGCTCTTGCAGATGACCAGGTTCAGTTCTCTGCACCCACACAATAGTTCACAATGTCTTTGTAACTCAAGTTCCTGGGGATCTGGTAACTCAAGTACCCTCCTATGGCCTCTGCAGATTCATTCACAAGTGTGGTATATATAAACTCAAGCACACCCATACATACCTATATTCATAGGAACACCACCTCCACCACCAAATAAAACAAAGCCAAATAAAAAGTCTACCCAGATTTCAAGATTATATAAATGACAAAGGTCTCTTTGTAACTCTTTTGAAAGGTTAAAGGTGGTGATGCCAAGTCTTCAAGTAAATCAAAGCGATCTCAGGGTCCTGTCCACATTACAGCAGGAAGTGAACCTATTCCCATTGGGGAGGATGAAGATGATGATCTGGACCAGGAAACCTTCAGCATTGTAAGTCGTGAAATAGAGGGGGCTGATGCTTGGGCACAGTGCTGTCCTCTGCCCTCCACAGGTGCATCCACAGATGTGGAACATTGTGTAAACTTGTGTATTGCTTATTATGTTTGCATACTGTATTTTGAACCAGAATAGTAGGATATCTTATATTCTTGTTTTTATGAATATATGTGGACTCACACGAGTTTATATGTTCCACACCTGTACAGGAACCTGCAGAATTTAGAAGGGTTCTCAAAGGCATTTGGGAAATAGAAGTGTGCTGAATTGGAAACAGAGCATTTAGAGATCCCATCTCGAAGAAGATTTGTTTGTTGTTTATAGAGAAACTGTATCAGTGACTAAGTTGAACAATATTAGGGTAGATGATAACTCCCAGGATCATGCTGGTACTCTTATGATAACGTAGAGAGGAGAAAGTGGCTACTGTGGAGGTCTACTAAGAAGGGAATCTGACCTAGTCTGGAAGGTCTAAGAATTGATGTTTGATTTGGGCTCCGAAAGAAGAGTAGAAGATAAGAGGGAGAAGTGGTGTGTGTGTGGCAGGAGCATGTGCTGTGGCTAGAGTGGTGGGTTGAGCCTGCCAGCTGGCGAGGAGAAGGACCTTGGCTAACATTTGGAGTGATGAAGTTCTGGACCATACCTGCTTCCATGCCATGGAGCTGAGAACTGACACAGGACATGCAGTTGTGTCCTCAGGGAAGGACTCTGTTATGTGCTCCCCAACTCTGTTCTTTGCGTCACAGCTCACTTCAGCACCTCCTTTGGTCTAAAGGAGAAGCTGTCTTCATTGAAATGTGAAAATACTGTCCTAGGCTGACAGAAGAGAGATTGACCCAGTTCTGTGAGGTCTTTTGACCTTTCTGTGTGTACACTAAAGCATACTAGCATATGAATAGTTTTTCTTTGTAGTTAAGTCAGTTTTCTTAATTCTTAATTTCTTTTATTTTCTGTGAGCATTATGTTTTATATGACGTTCACTTAGGTACTAGGAAGATATCAATAAATGAATGAATTGAATAAATGAACAAATTCATCATTTTCCTGTTCTTCCTTAGTCTGTTGCATGTAAACAAACTAATGTCTACTGCTTCTGTGGTACCGGTTTTCCTTTTCTGTGAAATTGGCTTTTGAACCAAGGGTCTTGCTCATATTAGCCACATCTGTGGCTAAGTATGTTGGCATGTTTGTAACTGCATTGCTGTGGAAGCAGAGGCAGGAAGAGTACAAACCCAAGGCCAATTTGGGCTACATAGCACGTTCAGACTAGCTGGAGCTACATGGTAATTTATCTTTTCTGCAGAATCACTTATGCTTTTTTGTTATTTTCACAGTCATTTGTAAGTATTTCCCAATTTGTAGTGTCTTTTTTATTACATTTTAAAAATTGAAGTTAAACACTGAAATATGCCCACGAGTTTCTAGCTGAGGAAATGACCTGAGTATCGTGGTTTTGTTTTTGCTTTTTCATTATGATGATCATGGTTTTCAGGTGAAGCCTATAATACTGTTTTACATTTGATCTTCTTAGTGGCCACAGCCCTCTTGCAGATGAGGAAACAACATTCAGAGAGGCTAAGTCAGGTATCAAAGGTCCTCACGTAATCCCAAATATGGTGACGGCACTTGTCCCTCAGAGTTTCTACGAATCTTCACTTGTCCCATTTCACTGGTGTTACCCACTCCTATAGTGACATGTAGCATGACGGCGGGGTGTGTTTTCTTCAATCTCGAGTGTGTGGACACGATAATGAACTCTTTCTTGCAATGGTTCATTTACTCTGTTGGCCTGTTCCAGTGTAAAGAGAGGATGAGGCCTGTGAAGAAGGCACTGAAGCAGTTGGACAAACCTGACAAGGGACTCAATGTGCAAGAACAGCTGGAGCACACCAGGAACTGCCTGCTGAAGATTGGAGACCGCATAGCCGAGTGCCTTAAAGCTTATTCAGACCAGGAGCACATCAAACTGTGGAGGAGGTAACCCCCCCCCCGGCCTTGAATCTCCCCAGTTTCGTTTGACAATATGTGGGTGTGCTCTGTTTTTTTATTTTTTTTAAATAGGCAGCATAGTCACCTAATAAAGCTTTTCGCAACAAAATTAACTGTTGACAGCGTAACTGTAGGCTTCAATTTCTTTTTCATGAAGTAAGCCATTTTGTCATTTTCTCAAGACCAGCCTTCTGATGTGGCAAGATTGTGCCATTAATTTAATTTATAATAGGAAGAATAAGATGACGGTGATGATGATGATAATCATCGTCTTTCTGGATTATTCTCAGAATATTTGCTTTAAACCCATAAGACATAGGAACTAGAATAATACATATTATTATATCTATTATAAAAAATTGGTTGGTTCCGTACTGTCTTAGTTACTGTTTCTATTACTGTGATACAACACCATGACCACAGGTAACCTGAGGAGGAGTTTATTTCAGCTTATGGCTCTCAGGTCACATTGCATTGCTGAGGGAAGTCAGGGCAGAATCCTGGAGACCTGAACTGAAACAGCCAATGGAGGAGTACTGCTTACTGGCTTGCTCCTCATGGCTTGCTCAGCCTGCTTTCTTATAGAACCCAGGACCACTGGCTCAGGAGTGGCACTTCCTACAGTGGGCTGGGCGCTCTCATATGTTAATCATCTATCAAGAAAATGGATGGGGGCTGGAGAGATGGCTCGTTGCCTAAGAGAAATGCCTATTTCCAGAGGACCCGGATTTAATTCCCTGCACCCACATTGTGGCTCACAGCTGTCTGTAATTCCAGTTCTAGGCTGCCTGACACCCTCACATAGATGTACATGCAGGCAAAAACACCAGTGCCCATAAAATAAAAATAAATAAATAAATGATTTAAAAAATATGTGATAGGCTTGCCCACAGGCAATCAATCTGGTGAGGACCTTTTCTCAACTGAATCTCTCCTTTCCATAGCTGACATAAAAACTAGCCAGCAGAGGTAATAACACATGAAGTGAAAGAAAAGTTAAAAGCATATGAACATAGATTCTCCGTTTTCATCTCCTTTAGTTAAAAAACTCCTAGTAGTAATTTAGATTAAGACATTATATAATTTATATGTATTAATTTATAAACAAGTGGCCCTTATCAGAGATGCTTAGAATCAGAAATACTCATAAACATAAGTAATGACATGTCTTGAGAATGGAAGTCAAATCTTATACAAAATCACTTTTATTTCATATACACTTAATCTACAGAGCCTACAGGTATGCTTTTACAGTGCATTTATTGCATCTACATTTTGACTGTGACCCATCATATAAGGTTAAGAGTATAACTTATTTCTTGAGACATCAGTCTTGGGATTTCAAAATAGGGACACTCAACGTGTATTCTGTTTAGATATTTTGAAGAGGTGACAACTCTCTAAAGCAACAGTAACAATAGTCAAGATAGCGGCACGCTTTTGTAATTGAGCTATTCAGGATGATGCAACAGGAGGGTCAAATATCAAGACCTTCATGGGCTATAGATTGAGTTCAGGGCCAGACTGGCCAACCTAGTGAGACTCTGTCTTAAAATAAAAAGGAAAAAGGAAGCTAGACAATAGTGTCCACGCCTTTAATCCCAGCACTCAGGAGGCAGAGGCAGGTGGATCTCTGGGAGTTCGAGGATAGTCTGGTCTACAGAGTGAGTTCCAGGACAGCCAGGACTGTTATACGGAGAATCCCTGTCTCAAACTCCCTCTCCCCCGCCAGATAGACAGACAGACAAAACAGGAAAAAAAAAATGGGGGGACGGGACTGGGGATGTAGCTTTGTGACTGAATAAGGGCCTAGCATGTACAAAGCCCTGGCTTCAGGTCCCAGTATTAGAGGGAATTTTGAAAGGCTAATGTTTATTTCCATAAACTGTATTTACTTTGAGTCCATGTACTTCATGGTTAATGTATCTTTGTGGTCTACTTTAGTAGATCAGGTTTTCAGACCTCAGTCATGATGCTATTGATAGCATGCCACACACCCCTGACATACAAGACAGAGTTTTTGAAAAATCATTTCTTTCCTCTTAAAACGGTTTGCATGTTTTCCCTTTATGGAGCATAATCTGGCTTTGGTCTCACCAGGGCAGAAGATAGCAGATGGTCATCTTAGGCTGCCTCCTGTGCGTTTGGGTTTGTTGCCATTTAAATGCCCATCACCAGCAGTAGTTCATTGAAAAGTCTTTGGTTGTTTAAAGTTCAAAGGCAGCACACACTATGACTTCCATAGAAACTATCCATCCAAAAGGTATGGAAACAGTTTTAGAAGTTGTGTAAGAAGATGCCTTACAGGGCTGGAAAGATGGCTCATCAGTAAGAGTACCTGCTCTTCTTCCAGAGGACCCTCCATCCACATAGCGGTCCACAGTCATTAATAACTCCAGACCCTCTTCTAGCCTCCTCAGCCACCAGGCATGCACATAGTACACAGAGACACACTCAGACCAAACACCCATAAACATAAAATCATAAATAGAAATTAAAAATCAAAAAGAATGCCTGCAGAAGGGTGGTCAGGGAGGCTGTCTACCTTGAACTGTGACTATAGACAAGCTAAGTGGAAACTCTTAAAGAGCATAGTCAGAGCTTCAGCAGAGGTGTAAGTGGACAGCTAGGACATTGGGTGTGTTTAGGGCTCGCTTGGAATGTGCTCAGAAGACTGTTCTTTATAAGAGGCCTCAGTGAGCTAAGTGGCTCTCTGTCTGACACTACATTTCCTAGTCACCGTCCTAACAGTGCGGCCATAGTGAGAAGAAACGTTGTTTCTGATTTACTGCTACTTCCAGGATCTCTCTGTATAAACCGCATTTTTGTGCCATTCCTGCGCTATATACGACAGTGCCATGCTAGGACAAGGAGTTCCTGAGAGTTTGAAGGAAAAGAGATGACAGGCCTTAGTAGTGACAGCTGGGCAGGAAGCATGACAGTGGTGCAGGTTACTACTTGGTTGTTGGTTCCAGTGTGGGAGATGGTGGCAGAGATGTAGTGTGTGGCAGTGTCCTGTGTGTGGGCCAGGTAAAGGAAAGCTTACTGAACTAGAGATGCGGATGCTACTGTACAAGTTAGGGTTCCTAATACTGTTGACAAATCCCCATCTTAAGACTCACTGTCAGACTCTTGACAGAAGCACATAATGATATATTACTGATATATAAACAATATATATGTTATATATATGATATACATTTATATTACATATATACAACATAATGATATATAAACAAAGCAAAGACTTTTTGTTTTGTTTTATTTATTTATTTTGAGATGGAGTATCATTTACCCAGGTTGGTCTCAGACTCACTCTGTAGTTGAGGATCTGAAGGTCACCGGAAAAACCTCCCGTGTGCTGGGATCACAGCGTGAGCTTGTACACCCAGCTTAGTGCAGGGGCCCTGGAGAACAGTTCCTAGTAAAATTCAGTAGCTGGGGCAGTGGTACACACCTTTAATCCCAGCACTCAGGAGGCAGAGGAAGGCCAGCCTGGTCTACAGAGTGAGTTCCAGGACAGCCAGGGCTCCACAGAAAAAAATCTGTCTTGAAGAAACAAAACAACAACAAAATCACTTTTTAAATTGTATAATTTACTAGTACAATTTTTCTTTTAGGAACCTATGGATTTTTGTTTCCAAGTTTACAGAATTTGATGCACGAAAACTACATAAGTTATATAAGATGGCTCATAAGAAAAGATCTCAAGAAGAGGAGGTAAAATATGAATCTAGTCCTAATTTATATAAGTGTATAAAGATAATTGCACATAAAATTCCCTTAGTTTTTGCTTTTCCCTGGGCTGGTAGTGAAAAATCTGGAGGATTGTTGATAGTAGATAGTCCACTGGCACTTTGCCTGTGTTTTACGTGGTTTCAGTACAGCCCAAACAGGGTGACAGAAACCACCACAGGTCATAGAGTGTGTTGTCTGTGATCCAAACATAATTTCATGCAATGTGATTTTTCATTTTACTAGCTGTTCTTAAAATTCTCCATGAGTCGCCAGACAGTAAGACTGTTATTTATTAGGTATAATAGCCAGTACATTAGTGCCAAGTAGTGTTTTAAAGTCCTGACAAGAATTTGTTACCCTGTTATCTCATGACCTGGAGCACTTATTTTCTAGACCCTTTCTTCTTCCTATATTTGTGTAGTTTGTAATGCCCCAGGATCCTAGGTGGGAAATCTGTTCCTATTCTTATACGGTCACGTATGTGGCATCCATCCAGTTTCTTACATAGAAGAATCCAAATTGCTTACTTAAAGGAGTAGACACTTGCAGTGCCCAGAAATTGTTGCTCTTTCATTTGAGTGGGGAGATGGGCATAAAGGTGACTTGGCTTCTGCTGTCGAGTCAGTTCTCGTGCAGACAGGCCCTCCTATAGGCCTACTAATCAGCCACGTGCTCCATATCCAGAGCAGACACTGAGGAGCAATTGTGAAAATTGTTCCACTTTTACTGGTGTGTCAGGTGCATGAACACTACTGCTATTTCCGAAACATCTATAGTCATGCCAGGAACAGCATGGGCACTTAGAAGGATTTCTAATGTGAACTTAATGCATTATTGACCTGGGAATTATACACTCTAATAGTTCATAATGTAATGCTATTTTGAAGAATATAATGTAGTGGTAATAGTATTAATATAGTAATTGTGTATTAGTGAAATTCTAAACATAATAAAATTTTACATGTATATATGTATTTATTTTTGTATATGTGTGTGTGTGTGTGTGAGAGAGAGAGAGAGAGAGAGAGGGACAGAGAGAAAGAAAGCAAGAGAGAGCACAAGCACAGGAGTGCAAGAGCCAGCTCTTACCCCATGATGTTCAAGAACAACCTGCAGGAGTCTGTGGTTTCCTATCATTCCATAATGTGTATCTCAGGAATTGAACTCAGATTGTTAGGCTTAGTGATGAGTGCCTTTACCCACTGAGCTATCTTACTGGCCCTAGTCATCGTAGAAATCCGTGAAAGACTCCTGAGAAGAATAAAATAGTTGGGAAGTTGAGTTGAGGATCTACTCATAGTGGTGGAGGACTCCACAGAAGCTCATGAAGCTGAGTGACAAATGTATCAATATCCAAGTGTGGGGAGTGAGTTATTGTCTTCCTATGTGCTGTGATGAAGCACCATGCACAAAACAATCTTGGGGAGCAGAGGGTTTATTTGGCTTATTTTTCATCATCATTGTTCATCATCAAAGGAAATCAGGACAGGAGCTGATGCAGAAGCCATGGAGGGGTGCTGCTTACTGGCTTGCTCTCCCTGGCTTGCTCAGCCTGTTTTCTTATAGAACCCAGAACTACCAGCTCAAGGACAGACCCACTCACCGTGGGTGGGGGCCTTTCCACATTTATGACTAATTAAGAAAATGTCCTACAGGCTTGTCTTGTGGAGGCTTTTATCTATTGAGTTTCCTCTCAGAAGACTTTAGCTTATGTCAAGCTGACATAAAATAAGCCAGCACAATAATTCTTCAAAATTTGTCGAAGAATAGATTATGCTTCTACATCTAAGAGTTTAATTTTTTAAAATTAATTTTTTTAAATATTTATTTATTATATATACAATATTCTGTCTGTGTGTAAGCCTACAGGCCAGAAGGGGCACCAGACTCCATTACAGATGGTTGTGAGCCACCATGTGGTTGCTGGGAATTGAACTCAGGACCTTTGGAAGAGCAGGAAATGCTCTTAACCTCTGAGCCATCTCTCCAGCCCCTAAGAGTTTAATTTAAGGGAATAATCAAAGGTTTTAAGCATGTTTATAATGGGAATGACTATAGTTCAATAGTAGTGGGAGGATTATGGTCATGTATTCTTACTGAAGAGTACAGTCAAGCAGTAAATGAAATATGGTAGTATTTAACATAGTGTAGGGGAAGATATTTTCATAATTTGCTAAATGAACAAAGAACAGAACAAATTAATATTTGTTTTCTGTTCTTTATAGACAAAAAGGCTTAGATATGGACCAAGTTATTTAATAGTCATTTTCCTCATGATTAGCTTTTAAACCACTTTACACTTGAAAACTTATTTTGAGAATTTTACTTGGGTGAAGGAATGGTATAGCTGGAGGGTCAGGTGTCTGGCTTGAGGACTTTAGTGTACTGTCTCTTTCCATTTGACAGCTGGCAGCTCTTAACTCTAGTAAGCCTTGAGAGCTTAGCAGTCATGGCTTTTTGTAGCCAAGAAAGTCCTCTGAAAGTGCCAACTTCCTGGCCACTTGAATAGGCTATGTACAGGAACACCTGGCAAGTTTTTTTTTCCTTTTTTTGCACGTGGGCTTTTTAGCGGAGGTTGGTTTTCTGTGGTAATCTAACAGCCCGGCAGCCCCCTGTCAGGCTGTTGGAGCTGTGGAGCTCAGCAAAGTTCACAAGCAGTTTTGGTAAGACATTACTAAGTGACAGCTCAGAAGAGAGGAACAAGATGGAACTGTTTAGGAGGGCATCTTTATTCTGCTCTCAGTAGCTAAGCCGGGGTCCTAAGCTTTTCTATTTTTTTTTTCTTTACTCTGCCAGGAACAAAAGAAGAAAGATGATACGCTCGGTGGTAAGAAACCATTTCGACCAGAGGCCTCTGGTTCCAGCCGGGATTCTCTGATGTCTCAGTCCCATACCTCACACAACCTTCATCCTCAGAAGCCTCATTTGCCTGCCTCCCATGGCCCACAGATGCATGGACATCCAAGAGATAACTACAGTCACCCCAACAAGAGACACTTTAGTAATGCAGGTAGGCCATTAGATAACTTTTAAAGAGGTGTCCAAACCCCCAATCATTTCATTTTCCAAGGACCTTTGTACTTTCTCCAAGATCTTCTTGTCTCTTCTTGGTTTTTATAAAATACGAAGTAAAGATCTAGAAGATTAAGGGTCAGCTCTAAGTTAAGGGGATCACAGGTACTTTAAAAGGTAATGGGTGGGGCTGGAGTGATGGCTCAGAGGTTAAGAGCACTGATTGCTCTTCCAGAGTTCCTGAGTTAAATTCCCAGCAACCACAAGGTGGCTCACAACCTTCTGTAATGAGGGCTGGTGCCCTCTTCTGGCATGCAGGCAATACAGGCAGAACACTGTATACATAATAAACAAACAAACAAACAAATAAATAAGCCTTTTTAAAAATAAAGGTAATGGGCAAACTTATAAAAAAAACTTATATTCCATGTACAAGAATGATCACTAATTAAAGAAAATGTCCTACAGGCTTGCATAGGTGTATAAGGTGGGCATCTGAACTGCTAATATTGAGTTGGTGACAAAGAGATAACCAGATAGAAAAAATAAGCAGTGGACAGTGAAGAAGCAACCTTTATTAATGAGAGACTATTCACAAACTGTACATCTGATAAAGGGCTAGTATGTAAAAATAGGACTGGTTAAGAAATGGGGGACGGATGGATCTAAATAGACATTTCTCAAATGATGGTGATAAACTCCGAGATGCCCTAAATTAATGTATAGGCCAGACAGGGAGGGCCTTGATAGAAGAAGATGATTAAGTCAGTCGAGAGGACTGTGCTGAGTATTGAAGATTGCCCATGGGGCCACACTGCATTTCGCTTTGGAATCAACCAGACCAGGATGTATCAGAGACTTTGTTTATGGACTAATGTATACAAGATGCTGCCATCTGTATTGACCTGAGTCTTTTTCAGTAAACAACGTAGGTTTGTTTAAAAAAAATACGATTTAATGTCCTCAGATTTCACTATAAGTAGCCTTAGGTCCAGTGGACATTTTCCCAGCTGCTAGAGTCACGCTACTGCTGGCTCAGGGACTTTAACCTGTGACCTGTCCTTTGACCCTTAGATAGGCATTTGTACCTCAATAAGTCCTTTATTTCAGAGACCTGTTAGTCTCAGGTTTGTCTTAATAAAGGTGTATAAATGGCCAACAGGTATATAGAAAAGCACTCAGCATTATGGGCCACACTCTTATCAAAGAAACACAGTGTGGGTAAGAATATGGAAAAAGGCAGCCTTTATCACAGCCATTATAGAAAACACAAGTAGGGTTCTCAGTAGCATTAAATACAGAACTCTCATATGACCTACAACTTAAGTGTATTAAAGGTATCAGATCTCACGGTTTATTAATGCCAAATACTTTTTCACAAGAGTAGCACATGAATCAGCTTAAGTGTCCATCAGTAGTGAGTGGGAAAAGAAAATGTGGCACCTGTGCCCAAAGGAATATTAGTTACCTGCCACTCGTGACACAAAATCATACATATTATACAATTAACATGTATTTTAAGACATGTACAAAATAAGTATATAATTTTTATTTGTTAATTTAAAAAACTTGAAATTTAATTTTTTGAAACAAACCTTATAAAAGAAGAAGGAAAGTAGATTGTATTAAAAATTTGGAGATTTTGTTTAGAAAAAAGGAGAAATGGCTAGGCAGAGAGTTAACAAGGTTTTTTACTCATTGCAATCAGCAATAATTAAAATGAGAAATGCACACTTGTTATTAAGGATAGGAAATGATCTAGTCTTTTTTAGAAAATAATTTGAAGTGAACAAATATATTGACCTTTGGCCACAGTTCTTTCTTGTCTGGATATTGTTCCGTAGAATGAGGACACATAGTTGGTAGGGTGCTATTGAAGACGAACTTGAGTGTCCACTGATTAAGAGAATGGTAGAGTGAGTGTTAGGACATCTGTACCCAGTGCCATCCACATTACAGAGTGTTGGCTAGACCAGCATTGTGCACTTGCTGGTAATATCAGCACTTGGGAGGCCAAGGCAGGAGCACTGACTGCTCTTCCAGAGGACCTGATTCAATTCCCGGCACCCACATGGTGTCTCACAACCTTATCTGCAACTCCAGTTCTAGAGAATCTGACTCCCTCTTCTGGCCTCTGTAGGCACTGCATACATGTGGTGCATAGCCACAGATATCCATCCTGGCAAAAACACTCATAGATGTAAAAGAAAAATAAATAATATTGAAAAAAAGAGCAGTCAGTGAGGGAAATAATAAGAAGCAAACAGTAATCATTTTATATTTTTACGCTAATCAGGTATTAAAAACCCATGTCTGTATCTTTAAATTTACTGAGGTGAAATTCATACAGCAAACAGGTAAGCATTTATAGGTGAACCATCCAGTGGTATTTGTACATTCAAAGTTCTGCACAATAGTTATGCCACTTCCTAAATTTCTGTATCACTCAAATGGAAATTCTTTTCCTGTTCTCCATCCTCTCTATCTTTCTAGCTATCTGTATTGCCCTGTAAATGAATTCATTCAGAAGACTTCATGTCAGGGAAATATACAGTGTGCTACCTCTTGTGACTGGCTTAGCAAAAGGTTTTGAAAGTCCATCCTAATTCTAGTGTGAATCAATACTTAATTTCTTTTTATGGGAGGATAGTATTTTACTCGATGGATATACTTTTTTCACTCATCTAAGTCTCTCCTTTTTTATATTCATATATTTGCTTGAATACCTATTTGCAATTGTTGTAGCTAGGTACATGGGGATGGGATTTCTGGTTGTATGGTAACTGCTTGACTTCCTGAGAAACCAAGAACAGCCTCCCTTAAGTACTTGTATGAACAGAGAAGGACGTGAAAGGGAAGTCTGGTTAGTGGTAACTATTGCCTTAGACTAGTGAGGTAGGGGAGAGTGTTTGAATTTAATGGCTAATCATTGTTTATTGCTTCACTAGTTAAAATATGTAAAAATTATTTTTAGAGTCAGAAGAATAAAAGGAAAAATACTGAACAAGACTTAAAGCATATAGAAACCTAACAAGATTTATCTTACTGATTCAATTTTCCTATAAATAATCAAAAAGTACATTTCTTTCTTAAACTTTGGTTCTAGAATTCCGTTTTTATGCACACGTACACACAGTTGATTTTGTGTTAGAGGCTACATAGCAAGGTATTATCTTAAGAAGTGCCCCACATTTCCTGTAAATTTTTATACACTAAAATTATGTCTGGGTTTGGCCAGATGGCTCAGGGGTTAAGAGCACACTGGCTGTTCTTCTAGAGGAACTGGGTTCAGTTCAACAGATTGTGCATGTGTTTGTGCCCTTCAGACTTTTTGTAAAAATTTCAATTTTTTTTTTTTAAAAGAAAAATTTGTCTTTGTTTCTTCCCTTTCAAGTGTGGTGGTGCACACCCGTAGCCCTGTGGGGAGGCAGAGGCAGGGAGACTTCTGAGTTGAAGCCCAGACAAAGCTATATAATAAATCAGACGTAACCTAAAAAATATTGAATTAATTGCTGTTACTTGGGGATTTACTTATTTTTCATTGTATGTGTATGAGTATTTTGTTTGCATTTATGTCTGTGCATCCTGTGTACGCTTGATGCCCACAGAGGTCAGAGGAGGCCACAAAACCCCTAGAATTGGAGTTAGAGATGGTTGTGAGCCTCTATGTGAGTGTTGGGAACTGAATCAGGTCCTCAATAAGAGCAGCAAGTGCTCTTCCACTGAGCTACCTCTCCAGTTCCAGTTCCAGTTATTTAAAAGTCATTGCTTATTAACTTCCTCAGTGTCAGAACCATTTCTTTGTGTTGTTTCCCATTATCTGCTTTTTTTTCTTTCAATTTTTATTCTCATGTTTTGATTATCTTCCCTAGGAGGTGGCATGGTGCTGGAAACTTGTTGAAGCACTAGGTGGTATCCCAGACTAGGAGGTGCTATCTCAGTGTGGTGCCCTTCCCCTTGGGGGTCAGCCTTTAGTCACAGAGGTCTTCAGAGGCTCAAAAGAACTCTTCTCAGAAGGTTGAAGCACCTTCAGCTATGTGAGGGCGTTAGTGAAACAGCATCATCACTTCCAAGTTTCCTTTGGGGTTCTTGAGTGAATCTCATTTTAAGGGTCTATTGCTCATTGAGGCAAGCAAAAATGAAACATGTAAGCCATAATTTGGAAGATCTTAGCAGGGACAGAGGTGATAGATTTTCTTTTGCCTTAGAAGTTGTTGGCAGCAGAGAAAATGTTAGGACTCATTCATTACTCATGTTAGCCGTAAGGCTGAGGAGGCAGTGGTTGTCTCCTGACATGTCCACCTGCAGTAAATGCCGCCATGTGCTGCAGTTACGAAACAGTTCTCTTCCTTCAGATCGAGGAGACTGGCAAAGGGAAAGGAAGTTCAACTATGGCGGTGGTAACAATGCGCCCTGGAGCAGTGACCGGCACCATCAGTATGAGCAGCAGCACTGGTACAAGGATCACCATTATGGTGACCGGAGACATATGGATGCCCACCGTTCTGGAAGCTACCGACCTAACAACATGTCCAGAAAGAGACCATATGAGCAGTACAGCAGTGACCGAGACCACCGGGGACACAGAGACTATTATGACAGGTGAGAGACTATTATGACGTGTGACCCGACTGGACCTGCTTAGAGGAGAAAGGATGGTGATGCTTATACGGGTTTGTCTGTCTACTGCATGCTGAGTGTTGCATGTATCAGTTATAAATCCCATATCCCTGCTATCAGGATAGCTTTAGGATGCTGGAAGAGGGAGTTTTGTAGCTGTATTTATTACTTTAGGTGGATGAGTGCTTTGTCCACATGTGCATGTGTGTACCATGTGTGGGCGTGGTACCTTGGGAGGTCAGAAGAGTGTGTTTAGCTCTGGACCTGGGATACAGAAGATTGTAAGCTTCTATGTGGGTGTTGGGAGCTGAATCCAGGTTCTCTATAGGAGCAGTGAGTGCTCTTAACACCTGAGCCATCGTTCTAGCCCCACCCCCTTAAAGAAAAGTATTCCTTTGTTCTTGGAGATTTTTATGCATGCATATAATATATAATTTTGGTCGTTTCGCCCCAGTACCCTCTCTCATCCCTCCCCACCTTGGCTGCAGTCCTTCCAGGAGGCCTCCCTTCTGCCCCATGCTTTTGGTTGTTGTGACCCAGTGAGTTTGCTTGTGGTTGCTGCATGAGTAGGGTGGTGTGTTATCTATGGCATGGGTAAGTTATGAGTAGCTGCATCACTAGAGGAAATGACACTGTTCTCCCAGCAACCCTTCTGAGACACGTTTGAACTGGTGAAGGTGCTTGCAGCCAAGCCTGATGACCTGCGTTTAGTCTGCATACACATTGTGGCATATATGCACACACATACGTGCACACAAAATTAATAGATGAATAAGTTATTGTAATGATATTTCTTTACAAGGTGAGTAGTGCCTGAAGTGTGATAGCTGAGGCTGGCCTCTGACCTCCACACTCATGTGCATTCACACCTACATATGTGTCTACACATGTAAATACACAGTTTAGAGTCGACAGTATTAGTTCTTAATGTGACCCTCAGTCTTACCAGGTAGCAGAGATGGGTACGAGGCTGTGGTCCTTGCTTGCCTAGATCCAATGGTTGACGTCAGAGCCTTGGAGGTTGTACCTTCTCTGCAGCCATACAGTGCCGTAGTGAGGCAGTAAGCCAGCTCCAGATTGTGAGTTGGCGAGTGTGGAAGAGCACTGTTTTCACCAGACTTTAATTCAGAGTCAGGCTGTTGACGGAACTTCATAGCAACGGCGGTCTCCCCTGGCTCATGTTATACTTTATGTTTAGACTGTACAATGGCTTTAAAGTGGGGCAAAATTTCATACGTCATTTTGGTGTCCTGCTGTTGTTTTGGAAGCTGCAGTTAGATGAGTAACAGTAGCTTGCATTAGCCACCTCAGATGAAAGAGCCTCCATCCACCCTCACTGCCTCCTGGTTTCTGTCATCTTATCTGGTTCCTCTGTGTGGGTCTGCATTTTGCCTGGTCTGTCCTTTTGCCCCTTTCCTTTTGTGTTTTACTGGGGCTGTGCTGTGAAAGGTGTTTATTTTGAAGGGTGTCTTTGCTGGGTATAAAGTTTTAGATTGCTGGTTCCAGACTTTCAAGGACTCCTCCGTTGTCTGCTTGTGTGCTTTCTGACAAAAAGCAAGGCCTTTGTTCTCCTTTTTCCTCTTTATAGACCGTTACTATTTCAAGCTCTGGCTATGTAGCATATATATCATACGCTGTGCATATCTGCCTGACTGTCCTCCCTGCCTCCATACCTGTGTGGTGCAGAGATTAAACCCAGGGCTTTGAATGTACTAAGCCAGTGCTGTACCACAGAGCTGCCTCCCAGCCCTGGCAGATGATTCTTTGTGTCTCTTATACTCAGGAATTACTCAGCTTTCTGAACGTCTTTCACCCATAAATTTGGGAGATTTTCAATATTTTTCAAATATTATTGTCATCTTCCATTCCTCTCCTTCGGAAATTCGAATTGTACTTACTATTATCCTGCTTGAAGTCATGGGATACTGGCTAGACTCCGTTCTAAGAACTGTCTCAGTATCCTTTTATCTGCTGACGGTTTCAGTTGATTAGCTTATCTCATGTATCTTATTCTCTTAGTAGTTTCCATGCCCAGCAATTTATTAGATGCCCTATAAGATACCATTGATAGTAGTACTCCCTCCATGCACCACACACACACACACACACGCATGCACACACACACACACACGCGCGCGCACACACACGCATGCACACACACGCATGCACACACACATGCACACACATACACATGATTTGGGACACACACACCCCCTTATCTGTCTTTCATTAATTACTTGTTCCCTTGACTTCTCGGGTTATTCATTCTTCTCTTCAGATTGAAATAGTCTTTTTAATATCCTCTGCAGAACTGGCTTAGTGGTCACAAATTCCTTTAGTCTAGGCGTTCTCCACCTGTGAGTCACAACCCCTTGTGACTTCTTCATAGGGGTTGACTAAGACCATTGGAAAACACAGATGTTATGCATACAGTGTTTCTGCCTGCATGTATGCCTGCAGGCCATAAGAGGGCACCACATAGAATTATACATGGTTGTGAGCCACCATGTAGTTGCTGGGAATTGAACTCTGGAAGAGCAGCCAGTGCTCTTAACTATTGAGCCATCTCTCCAACCCTTTAGTCTGTTTTTATCATGAAATGTTTTTATTTCTTCAATTTAATTTTTAATTTTATTATCTTTTAAAGAAAAGCTCCCCTCACCCCCCAGACAGGGTTTTTCTGTGTAGCCCTGACTATCCTGAAACTATGCAGCCCAGGCTGGCCTTGAACTCAGATCTACCTGCTTCTGTCTCCTCAGTGCTGGGATTAAAGGTGTACACCACCACTGTCTGGCTCTTATAGATTTATATTTACTTTTATTTATGTATAGGTGTTGTGTATATCTGCGTGTGGGTATATGCATTTATGAGTACAGGTGCCCTAGGAGGCCAGAGGCATCAGATCCCCCTGGAAGTGGGTTATAGGTGGTTGTGAGCCTCTTGACATGGGTGCTAAGAACTGTGCCCAGGTCCTCTAGAGGCCAGAGGAGCAGCAAGTGCTCTTCACCACCGAGCCCTCTCTCCAGCCCCTCTCCTTCAGTTTTAATAGATTGTTTTGCTGGGTATAATAGTCTGGTTGACAGCTGTGGTCTTTCAGGACTTGGGATCCATCCTTCCAGGCCCTTCTGCTTTAAAGGGTGCTGTCGGTATTATTCAGTGTTTTCTCGTGTGTCTGCCTTTCTAGGCGACTTGTATTTTCTTTGTTATAACTTTAAATACCCTTTATTCTGTATTTGTTTTGTTTTTCTTTTCTAGCCTTGTTTATTTGATATTCTCTAGGTCTCTTGTATCTGAATGGGCATTGGGGAATTTTCTTCTCTGATTTTACTAAAGATACTCTCTTCCTTCTCTTTTGTATTCCCCTTCGTGCCATAATACAGAGGCGAGGTCTTCTAATGGACCTCACATTCTCCCATGTTCTGCTGGTGCTTTCTTTGACACCTTCCTCACTGACCTTTATGGAGGAATCCAATTACTCTGTCTCCATCCCTGCTGTTGCGGACATGATCCTTTCTGTTGTCGTGGTTTCTACTGAGGATTTCAGTCAGCTTACTGAGGTTTCCATCCCCGGTATCATTTCAGTTTGGGTTTCCTTCAACAATTCAGACTGTTCTCATATTCTGGATTGGCTTCCCATTCATTCATTCATTCATTCATCTTTGTCTTTGAGGTGTTTGGTCATAGTGAAATCTTTTTTAAATTCTAAGTCTTCTAGGTCATTTTTATTTGGAGCCATACTATAGATTGGTGTTTTTGGAGACATGTTGCTTACTTCTTTGTGTGTGTGTGTGTGTGTGTGTGTGTGTGTGTGTGTGTGTGTATGTATGTGTGTTATAGCTGTGTTGGAGTTTGTCTATCTGTAGTTTGGTTTTGATTGAGTTTTCTGATGTGTTCAGGTCACCTTTCCTACACTGCTCAGGATTTATAGCAGGACTGAGAGTGAAACATTTTATCTTTGTCTCATATTTGATGTTACAGCCTCCATTTCAGGTCTTTTGCTTATCTGCTGTAGCCTGGTACCTTCAGTCTTGGTCAGGAGCTTGGAACAAGTTTCCCCTGGCAATGTGGACCAGTCCTGGGTCTAAAGGCCAAATAGGACTACTGGAGGTTCTTAGGCAGGCTGTTGGTAGGACTCTAGGTCTCTGCGTCCTATGGAAGGGAATGTTTTGGGAGCTGGTGAATTTGGAGAAAAGGAGGCCAGAAGGAGTTGACAGCCCTTAGCAAGCAGTTGCCAGGCTTGAGCTACTTGTATGGTGGGGGTCTAGGTGTGTAGGTGAGGCTGCCTTATGTGTGGTGGCTAGAGAGTCCCTGGTGGGCTGAGTCAGTATGCATAATTTTAGGCAACTTTAATGCTGAATATCTAGGTTGATTCTGGGTTTTGCCGTTATTAATAATTTACAAATAATTTCTGTGTATTTTTTCTTTTGAGTATGGTGAAGAAATGTGAAAATGTTTATAGTTGTGTTTTCCTGAAGGGAAAGTGAGTTTGCAAAGCTGTCAGTGATTGTCCACGTGTGTCCACACGTCACTGCAGCTCTGAAGAGGGCACGTTATTTCACAGGATACTTTTACCATTATGTATGAAAGAACTGTCTATGCCTGGGTCGCGCGTGTGTGTGTGTGTGTGTGTGTGTGTGTGTGTGTGTGTGTGGTTCCCTGGTGACAGAAATATTTGTCTCTGTGTGTGAGGAAATGACAGCAGAAGATGGAGAGTCTGGTTGTGGTCTTTCAGCTGATCCGTGCGTCTCTCTTTCAGGCACCATCATGACTCTAAACGGAGGAGATCAGATGATTTTAGGCCCCAGAATTACCACCAGCAGGATTTTCGACGAATGTCTGACCACAGACCCGCAATGGGCTACCATGGCCAGGGACCCTCAGACCATTACCGCTCTTTCCACACAGACAAGTTGGGGGAATACAAACAGCCCCTGCCCTCATTACACGCTGCAGCCTCAGATCCTCGCTCACCCCCTTCCCAGAAGTCTCCCCATGACTCCAAGTCACCCTTGGATCACAGGTCTCCTTTGGAGAGATCGCTAGAACAGAAAAACAACCCAGACTATAACTGGAATGTTCGGAAAACATAAAGGACAGCTCCGAAAGGGGCGCGATCACGGGAGTCATCAAGCACTTGGACTTTTTGGTCTGGTCCAACGGTGGCCAGTGGTCAGGCTAGCGAGTGGAGTTCTTGGATACACTGCTGCTGAATCCACTAACTTGGCGGCTGAAGGAGCACTTCAGGGAGTCGGAGGCCTTCATCTGCTGCTTTGGTTTGGTCTCCACTCCTGCACTTTGGCACCCTGTCCCATCCTAGCCTATCGTGGCCTCCCACCTCCGTGGGTGCTGGGAGGAAGAGGTGACTTATGTACCAGCTTCATTGGGCTGCTTTCCCTGTGAAGGAATCGGAGATCTTGAGAGTCAGTGAATGTTATATTCAGCATGAGTGACCAGGGCAAGGACCTGCTGGACAGCGTGTGATTGGTTCACTATGACGTGAGGGTGCTGCTGATGGGAAGTGGGAGGTCACAGGGTGGGTTTCACACTGCAAGACTTGAAAGGGGAGCACGTATACCCCTCAGGTGTTTCTGGGAGAAGTGACACACTTGGTCTCATTACGTGAAGTGGGGTGGGCATAGAGAGACAGGAAACAACTTCCACCATGGCGTCCCCCCTGCCAACACTAATTCTTCCCGTACTATCTCTGTACATTTCAAAGGTTTGGTCTTCTGGTGGAGTCCATTTTCCCTCTTTGTCAGGGAAAGTTGGATCCCTCTGGCCAACTTTAGAGAACTGTGACATTGGCGTCATTGATGCCACCGTGGGTCTTACTTGTTTGGGGGCATGGGCTAAGTGGGTTTAGGGGTGGAGATGGGGCTTTGGGGTAGTATCACCAGGAAATAGGAATCCCTGGTGGGTTTCTGGTTCCTATGTTGAGAAGGAGAGTCACAGGTCCTGATGGTGGCCTGCTGATGGGGTGCCTGCTGGTAAGCAGATGGGGAGGGGTGGGGTTCCGAAAGTGGGCATTGGTGGTGCCAGCAAGCAGGGAGCTTTCAGTATTGGAGTGGGCCAGTGATTGTACTTGCATCTCGGTTCCTTTACACAGCTTGACGGGGAAGCCTATACAAACCCAAACATCTTGACAGTTGAGGTTCAGTCAGGGAAAAATACCCGAGGGTTACATTTCCATTGCAAGTTAGGATTCAGCAGCATCAAACCCTCTTTCTTTGTGATCTGTAGAGTATAAACCTAAGTTAATTTTCCCAACTCCCAAACAGCCATGACCGGGGTGGCTGAGCTGTGAGAGGACAGGAGGCCTGTTGGGGTCAGGTTGGGTCAGGTTGGTGGGTTGCATCATTGAATGGCTCTTCTCAGCGTATGGATAACTGGGTTGCGCCTTTGGTTTGACTCACTTTCAGTATAGCTTACCAGTATTGTTAAAGGTATCCAAAGCCTTTCTAGATGGACACAGGAAAGCTGACTTTAACCTATAGATGGTGTGGTGAGAGTCCAGGCTCATTCTGAGTTGATGAAAAGTCTTGTTTTGGAATACGCAGGATTCAGCTTTCTGAACTCCTTTGGGGATGGGGTGGACCCATCCTGGGCAGTACCATTAATGACTTTCCCAAGACAAGCTTGAATTGTGTCTTTGAGTCCATCGTCTGGCCATGGCATGGCTGTGGTGGGCCATTGCTTCCGCTACTTAGAGCACCATGGACCCGGCTGTACTGAGTCGGTCCCTGCAGCCAGTGCTCAATAGACCGCCTTCTGGATGCCTCATGGCACCTGGTCCCTTACCCTGATCTTGGGCATGCACTGGAGTCCTCTGGCTGGAGTCTCCTGCCTGGTGGCCTGCCACGATTTCCCACACAGTGAACAGTAAACCAGAGTTGGAGCTTCTTGCCGATGGCATCGACACTAATATTGGTTTGCTGGGCTCTTTGGTGCCCTGTGCAAGGTGGAGGCCTTGCCCTTCCACGCTTACCTAGGCCTTTTTCTCTTTCAACTTGTTGGTAGAAGATTTAAGTTATTCTCAAAGATGTCTCATCATGAGGAAAAAGGAACTTCCTTTTGTTTCCTTCAGGACTAAAGTGCCATAATACGTAGCAAAAGGCAATGTTGGCCAGATCAGTGTTACATTGATTCTAGATTGCAGTATCTCCCATCAGACATCTGTGTATCTGACGAGTGGGTTGGGAGAAAGGAGGCTTTCCTCTTGCTTTAAACCAGTATGTGCACCATACACTTACAGCAGCAGTCTGCTCAGGTGGGCGAGGCTGTCGGTGGAGTTCTGGTGGAGCCCAGCTTTGGGCAGCTCATGGTTGAGGAAAGAGTGAGTGTTGCCAAGGCCTGAAGTACTGTGATGCACCGTGACCCTAGACCACCAGGAAGGTGATGTTTCTGCTGACCACGGTGTCCCCTCATTGGCCAGCCTGCGGGAGCCCGACCCCCTGGTCCCTCCTCGGACTCTTGTGTAGTCATTCCGTAAGCCCCGCAAAGGGAACGCAAACATTTCTCACTGTGCTGCTGCTCTGACCTGGTGTGGCCGGCAGCTGCATCAGGCTTTGCAGAGCAAAGGTGATTCACTTACGTGTTCACACACACAGCAACACTGAAATCTTATAGACCAAAACCCACATGTCAGCAGGAGCCGTGTCCAGGCCCAGCACCTGTGGTCTTGTCGCTCATCTGAGGCCAGCTGTGTCAGGTGAAGAGAGTCATGCCAAGGGTCCAGGCTGCTTTAGTCCATCTGTCCCTACTCATTTGGGGACAGGTGGTTTTTCTTGTAAACTTGTGGACTTTTGAAACCTGTTGACTAAACAGTAATTAATTTATATTTGTGAAAAATGCCACTGTCCTAGTGATTTCTGATGTAAATAATGTTGTTTATATAGTATGTATTAAATTTTCCTACATTGTAAAACTGCTGTACTTTTGATTCTTGTATATTAAAAAGCGTTACTAAGGATTTTTAGAATCGGGCTAACCAGTTGCGTTACGTTCTGGTGTGAGGCAAATGCCTTGAAGATACTTCCTCTGTCTCCTTCCTTTGCCGGAGGCGTGGCCATGTGTCCAAGCTTGTCATCGATGGGGTTTTTCCTAAGTTGTGCTTTTGTCGGTATGGACAGTTTCCTGTGTCTGAAGAGCTCCAGGCCACAGCCCACAACTGTGCACCTCATGAGATGGCATGGAGCTATTGAAGCGGGTAGGTCATGCAGGACTGCCCTGAGCTGCTCTGGGGGTCCTGGGGAGGCCTGCCAGCCTGCAGCATTTGTGCGCTTCACAGTTGGGTTATATATTCCCGAGTGGACAAAGATGCCTTTCTAATGGGAACCGTGACACAGACATTAACTTGCAATTTGGCACAGAGGTGGCTCAGCTCCGACATGGCCCAGACAGCAAAAGCGGCCTGGCCTGTGAGTGGAGAGCCTCCTTGCAATCTTGTCCAGGCCCAGGGCTACAAAAGTGACTTTGAACCCAAGCTCATGTCTTTATAAACCCGTGCTGCTGGGACTCCACCCTGCTAGCCTTCCAGGACCCTTGGGTGCAAGAGGCCAGTGTTAATTCTGGCCTGGCAAAGTGGAGAAGCATGGAGAGGCGTTCCTCTGGAGAAACCACTGGTAATCCCTCCCTCTGCTGCGCAGCGCAGCTGGGCTGGCTCTGGGAAACTTAACAAGTGCTGCAATAATCTATTACGACTCCCAACAGTGACAGGCTTCCAAGGCTGCTGCTGCCAAGATGCCTGCCTTTTACTGGAAGCTGCAGGCCTGGGGCCCTCACCTCCCAGTGCCTCCCTGGCAGGGATGCAGATGCTTGGCAAACACCACAAACCCTGCTCAGTAAGTGCCAACAGAAAGGTCACTTACTGAGAACTAAAGACCAGCAGTTTGCCAGAGAATAGAGCCTGTGGTTCTTAAAGGAGCCACGCTAGCATCGCCGCTTAGGCTTTAACTAAAAGCCCCTTCCATCCTATTCCAGGTCAGAACTCTAATCCATGCTGCCTCCTGATTTTGTGGAGTACCGTCTGGATGCAGCTGAAACAGATAAAACCTTCCTGCACGTTCCTGGTTATGGTGGAGCCCTGCCCAGCCCCTGTTGATAGGACTCTCTCCTGTGGCAGGTCTTGGGGATTTCCTGATGAGTTATGTGTCCAAATGACTTGTCCCTGGCCACAAGGCTCTCTGACTTTGTGTGGGAACAAAAATCAGGTCTACAGTCTACCTGAAACATGTCCAGAGTAGATAACTCAGAGCAAGCAAGGGGAGAATTCGCATGGACTCTGCCTTCTCTGAATTCTCAGGCAGAGTGGCACCCATGGGCCAGTGGGTGCAAGGCTTGTGTCCAACTGGGACCCCAACCTAGGCATTTGTGTTCCACTCACACCTAAGCTTGCATCACGTGGTCTGCATTCTGGTAGCAAGGATGGAAGCCCCGCAGAACACACAAGATGGGCTTGGCTGGCCACACTGTCAAAGGCAGAATGATGGGGTTCCTGGAGGCACTACAGATGAGAGGCTCTCTCTTGCAACTTGTCCTTGTTTGCACTCTATTTCTGTGATAAACACAGAGGCCAGAAGCAACTTAGGGAGTAAAGGGGTTTGTTGCATCTTAGCCCTTCTGCTGTGAAGAGAAGTCTGGGTGGGAACTTGAGGCAGGAGCTAAAGCAGAGGCCATGAAGGAGTGCCGCTTACGGGCTCACACAACCCGGGACCACCAGCCCCAACGGTGGCACCACCCATAGAGGGCGGGCTCTCCCATATCTACCATTAATCAAGAAAATGCCCCCGCAGACCTGCCTACAAGCTAACCTGATGGAGGAAGCCTCTTAATCAAGATCCCCTCCTCCCAGAAGGCTCTAGTTATCATCAAGTTGACAGAAAACTAACCAGACCCCCCTCTCCCCACATGGAGCCTTGGCCGCTTGAGAATCTGACGCATCATCCCAGAGTAGGTGTGATTCTAGAACTGTCCTGCAGAGGGCAGCAGAAGTCCATGAATCCCGGCAGAACCGCAGCTGGCCCACACCTTACCCAGGGGAAGGCTCTGATTCTTCTCCCAATTTCTAGATCCCTTCCTTTGCCGGGAGGGGCCAGGAGACTGGAGCCACCTTGTTCCCGAAGGAGGCTTGAGAGGGGACTGAGAACATCCCTCACAAGGTGACCTTAGCGACTCATGTTTTCCTCTGAACTGCTTTCTATGGGCCCGTGATTCCATTCCTGATCAGATATGGTGGGTGGGGGATTCTAGTGAAGTTCAGTAAGATTCTTATTAAAGGCAATGAGAGGCTCCGTGCGGAGAAGTTCAATAGAACTTTCAAATAGCTGAAAAGTTCAGGAGAGCCTGAATATAGGTTAGTCAAGGAGAAAACTGCTATCAAGTGTTGTTAGGTTTTTACTCTACTCTTTTGGGGGACCTGCCCCCATATCATGACATGGAGGCTTATTCTTACTTATGAATGCCCAATTTTAGCTTGGCTTGTTTCTAGCCAGCTTTTCTTAAATTACACATCTTATCTTTTGCCTTTGGGCTTTTATCTTTCTCTGTTTCCATATACCTTTCTTTACTTCTTTCTCCGTTGCTGGCTGTGTAGCTGGGTGGCTGGCCCCTGGTGTCCTCCTCTCCTTGTCCTACCTTGCTCCTTCTCTCCTCCCAGATTGTTCTTCCTACTGCTTCTCTTTTCTGCCAGCCCTGCCTGTCCTTGCTCCTGCCTCACTATCGTCTGTTCAGCTCTTTATTAGACCATCCGATGTTTTAGACAGGCAAAGTATCACAGCTTCACAGAGTTAAACAAGCACAACATAAAAGAATGCAACACATCTTTGCATCACTAAACAAATGTTCCGCAGCATAAACAAATGTAACACACCTTAAACTAACATTCTGCAACAATCAAGACCCAGATACCCTCTGCTTTGACAGCTCCCTCTTGGTCCCACAGGCCTTGCAAATGGCGTGCTCTCGGTTCTCCCAGCTGCCCTGTGAGGAAGTCATCCTGGCCCTAGTTGACAGAGGGCAACAAGGCTCACAGACACAAAGGGGCTCATGGTTAAGGTCGGAGAACCAGGAAGCGCCACCTGAGAGGACCCAAGACCTCCATCCCCTTCCTCTGCTATAGGATGGTGGTGAAAGTGTTGCGAGTTTCTCACCACTAGAGGTCACCCACGAGGCAGAGCGCCTTCATCCACTCTGCTGTGCCTTCAGCATGGAGCCCAAAGGTCACTGTCACAGTATCTTTTAAATCTTTGCAGAATATACAAATGTCCCCCCAAATCTAGGCCACGTCCAGCCACATTGGGTAGCCTCCAGTTGTCTGTATTTAGAAGAACCAGGAAGGACTCTTAGTATTGTGTCAGGCCAACTTTCCATGGATGTGTGCACTCAAAAAGGCAGTTGTGGGGAAGTGAGCTCTGTCTTAAAGACCTAGCTCTGGGTAGCTTAGGCGCCAGTCTCGACACCCTTGGGCCTTGCTCACCAAACCCTTTGATGCAACATGCTTGGGCTCTGAGAACCTGGAGCCTAGGAAGGGGGTGGCTGGACAGGACTTCACAGTGACAAATTGGTGCTAGTACTTTCGGGCAAGTGACCATGATATCTAGCTCTTATAATACCACTGGGCTGTTTCCAGCGTTCACGCACATCGGAAATGGGGACCACACTGGCAGCCAGATCGTATCAGAGTTGTTGCCAAGACTTGTTCTTAACCTGGAAACCTGACTGGCCGCTTCTGGGTGATGGGACCCAGTTGACAGGCCTCCAGCACACTGACATGGTCCTCCTTAGAACCTGTCTTAGAGTTTCTGTTGCTGCAAGGAAACACCATGACCCAAAAGCAAGTTGGGAAGGAAAGGGTTTATTTGACTGACACTTCCGCATGGCTGTTCATCATCAAAAGAAGTCGGGACAGGAACTCAAGCAGGGCAGGAACCTGGAGGCAGGAGCGGATGCAGAGGCCACGGAGGGGGTGCTCTTTACTGTCTTGTCTCTCCTGGTTTACTCCTGCTGTCTTACAGAATCCACGGCCACCAACTCAGGGATGACGTCATCCACAATGGCCTGGGTACTCCCCCATCGCTAATGAAGGAAAAGCCTTGCAGCTGGATCTACTGGAGGCATTTTCTCAACGGAGGCTCCCTCCATTAAGATAAAACTCTAGTTGTGTGTCAAGATGACCTAAGACTAATCAGCTCAGACCTCCAGGCTCTCAGACTGTAGGTGGCTGTTGTCTCCTCCCAGTTTGTCCCTCTTCTAAGCCCTCCTTGTCCATCTAGCCTATAGGTGTGAGTGGCGGGTGTTCTTCTCGGACGAGTGTTCTTCTTGGAGACAAAAGGAGGACGCAAGACACAACAAAACCCACGTGGCGCCAGGTTTATTGCAGCGTGCGTAACAGTAAAGAGAAGGGAAAAAGAGGATGAACGGAGGGCGTTCCAGCTTTTAAAGGGTCTCCCCACGCACGTGCGTCAAACGCCACGTTCTGCACCTGCGCAGCCTTTGCGTGGAAAGCTAGGCACTCCTGGGAAAGGTAGTTCCCCAGACGAGCGATGCTCAGGGGTCTTTTGGGGAATAATAGCGGATAGACCCTCTCCCTGGTCACCCAAACTAGAACCCTAAGTGGATTCCACCCCTGTTGGGGACTCCTGACGTTGTCTTGGCTTGGAGAGAGGGTGGGTGGGCTTCCTCTTTTAGAACCTTTTTGTAACCTCCAAAAGTTGACTGCTCTTGACCCTGGTTTACCCACCGGGAGGAAGCTGGGACAAAATCACTTCTTTCTAGGTTGGGTGTCAGATTTGTTCGCACTCAGAGGCTGTAGCGGAGGAGGATGTGTGGGCACTAGAGTTTGTCGAGGGACGACGTGGAGCTGGGTCAAAGCTGTGCCTGTCAGGAAACGGTCATTTCCAATGAAGAGTGGTCTTCCCATACACTCCAGTTAGTTTACAGAACAACCTGATGACGGAGGGGCTAGCCTTATTT